CTATTTGATCTTGGGAGTATTAACAGACAGCCACTATAAAGAGCTTTTGTTCTCATTCAACGTACTATTGTAAACCAAATGATATTTAAGTGATGAATTGCTCCGTGTTCTGATAAAGGGCGACACACTGTTTCTGGAGCGGCCGTATGGCAAGCCGGCAGCAGGGAGCAAGAGAGTGGAGGCTGACGATTGGACGCCGAGAATAGGGCCTCTGCCACCATCTCTTCTTAGTCCTCTCAGACACCGATGGTGACTCTACTGTTTGTGTGGGAGTGTTATGTGTTTAAGATTTGAACCCCTACCAGCTGAGTTGCCCTAGTAGCTCAGTTGTAGAGCGCTCGCCTTGACAGCAGAGTGTCGTGGGTTTGAATCCCACCTAGGGCAGCAAAAAAGAGTGTTTTCCTGGGTGTAGTTGACTTGTTTGCTTTGCCTTTGCCTATCTACCTCACCTTGTTGTTGTTGACACAAGCTGCAGAGTGGCTAATATAGGACTTGCTCTCTCCGTAGGTGGTACTGCCATCCCAGGCCTCCAGAGTGCCAGTTTATGTCAAAAAGACTGACCAGGTAGCCTATATACTTTGGCTCTTGCTCTAAGTCTTGACAATAATTATTGCACTAACGCCAGAGGTCCTCCGCACTCTACGTGCGGGTGTCTCGTGTGCGGCCGGGGGTTAAATTCTGTGCATGTAGCCAGCTCCTCCCTCCTCAAAAACTGTGTGCACGCACAATAACTGATGTGTTTTTTTTACTGCAGGGCGATTTCGACTTTGGTGGGTACCCAGTCCGTCTGCTGGTGGCAGACCTTGTTCCTCGCATGAAGCATGCTGTTCTCCTGGCTTGGTCCACCTCAGATCTCATGGACACTAGCTGCAGCAATGTGAGCACTAGACTCTACCTAGTACCAATTAAGCATGAAAATGACGTGTTTAGAACACTATGTAGCAAGAAAGCAAAGAAAGTCGTGCTCTTGCTGGTGAAGCCTTGTAAGTGTGCCCATGTTGTCATAGGCAACTTCCTATCCTACCATAGGAATCAGGAAAAGTATTCAGACTTCACTTGGAAGATAACACAGGTATTTTACGTCTGCCCTGCCTTATTTTGAGATACACCAACAGACTGGCTCTTTCCCCAGGGTCTGTTGTATGTGATGTCCACTGTAATGATCACAGAATGCTTCTAAAGATCCATTCAAACCAGGTCAGACTCCCTGTGATTGTCCTAACCTACAGCAACTCAGCCCTCCCTCCCTCCCTACCTCTCAATAGTGGCTACTACTCACAGGTCTCTCATCCCACACAAGACAAGAGTGTGGATCTCTCTACCTCCTCTGTGACACCACCCAGGGAGCTACCATTCATACTGGTCGGTATAATAATATACCTCGTTCCATATTCACCACAGTTGGTTTAGCACTCGCGTTCACTTTCTCTTATGAGAGCACTGGTGGCTCCTCAGCTTGTCAGTCCCGGACTATATAGCATGCTTCACTCACTAAGAAACTTCACATGAAGTGCCAAACCCACAAATTATATTTCTTGCTGTCCTGGTGTAGTTGACTTGTTTTCCCCTGCCTTGCCTTTCTACCTCGTCACCACGTTGTTGGGACATGATGTAATGCAAGTATTATTATTGTATCAAGGTAATTCATTCTGCAATATCTTCTTCATTCTTGCAGTGAGTGGTCTGGTAGGCTGGCTGAGGTCACCATGTCTCCTCTCACTCACTCCTCTCGGTGAGGCTGTGGCATCCAACTCTCCCCATTTCACCACCGTGGTCACTCTGACATCATGGCTCCCAGTCTCCTCCACCGGACACCAGCAGAGTGGGAACTCTGTAAAGCGTATTCGTATCCACTTCATGTGTCTCCATAGTGGTCACAATACTGCCTATCATAGCCCATATGCTAGGTACCTTGCCCATCCCTACATACTAAATAGTACCGTACTTAGTGATGGTGCTAATATTTCTCTTCAATAACAAGATGGAACAGTATAATATACGAATGTCATTGTGTTTATTGGACGTCAGTTGACTAATGTGCTGGTCCTTGACTGTATGACTGTCCCCAAGACAGTTTTTGTGGAGGTGAAGTGATGGACGAAAACTCAAAGACACTGTGCACCTCCTGCAAGTACTACCTGAGCTTTAGACGACTCTATATTACAGTCAGTTACTCTATGTATGTACTGCAGGAGTGAGGCTGGACTGTGGAGATGGTGCTACCGTCTACAGTGTTCTCTGAGAGAGTGCAAAGATTCAGAACCGAGACTGACAGGTCAAGAGACGTCCACAGAGAGAATGTGCTCAATCAATGCCACACTTACACCTTCAGCAGCTGAAGTAAGACCCAAGTTACTATTCAAATTGTGCCTTCAACACATTGTTCGTTGGCTTGGAACACATTATAGCAAGTTGCATCTCCAAACTATCACACTTGTGCATGCATAGTCTTGGTTTGCATTGACAAGAAACCGACGACTGTTGGGTTGCATTTGTTATTTTTGCTCATTTTACGGACAGATGTTGATCCAAGTTCCTGCTCCAGAGTTCGTATCTCTATCGCCAGCTAATCAGAGGGACATCCTCAACGGTTTTATCGACCACTCACTCGTACTCTGCATCTCTTACGTGAGCAACAGCAGTTATGAAGAATCCTGTTATCTAGGGTATGTAAAAATGCAGGTGGTGGAGAAGGAGACTGGGCATATTGCGTACCAAGTAAATGCCGTCTGCGAGAAGACTGAAACATCTTAGCACAAACTGATACATCACATGTCGAATTAGGATACCAGCAATATACGTCGATGGAAATGCATATTATATATACACAGTTTGTAAGGGATATGATCAAGCAAAGCAAGGCATCAACGAGGACCTATCTTTCATCATAACATGAGGTATGTAGAAAAATACAGTGCTACAATAGCCATTGCTCTCTCTCTCTCTCTCTCTCTCTCTGCAGGTGATGTAGTTGTCCTGAGTGGTACATAGTTCATGTCAAGAGATTGATCAGGTATTAAAATGTATTCTTATATACAGCTGTGTGATTCTTCATGCACCCAATTCTAAACCCGCGGCGCGCTAAAAGTTCATGTTGTATGCTTCACTCTTGAACCTTTAGTTGATAGTGCACATCGCTGCTTGTTTTCCTATACCCTTACTGCAACACTTTGAGGGATGGTTGTCTTTCAGCACTTTCATTGACACAACCATAAGCATGGCCCAATCTTTTTGCTATCACATTTCGGAATGTATCCTACGCCTTATATACAAAGACTTCATTAACTCTATATAATATATAAGTATTACACAATTTTATTCTTTGTAACAATCATCTAACCTAAATATTGGTTTTGTACATGTCATTTAGAGTCACAGGCTTCACACTGATTTCTGGGCTATGTCTGCATGTTGAGTTCTGTTATCTCCCTCGGATCAGACAGACCCTGAAATGGCCGGAATGCATACTTCATCCCTTCATGGGCGCATGCTATCTTCATTGGATTGACTCGTGCTCCATCTGGACTGCTATTTCCAGCTGGCCCCTTCTGACGTTGGCCTGCAACCCCAATTGGTTCGTTCTCGCCATCTTTCCCATGACGTTTCTTCACACCATCTTTCCCCTGGCGTTCCTTCCTCAGCAGCTCAGGCCCACCCTTGTCTTTCTTCCGAGCTGGCTCGGCGGCATTTTTCTTCTCCCCATCTGCTTGTACTGGGGCAGCATTGGCTGTGGCTCCCACGGCTGTTGGATTGGACATGTCATCCATGCTCAGTTCTTTATCCTGCGTCTGACTCTTTGCACCTCCCTACCTGTGGGAAGTGAAGTTTGACTAAAGTTCCATCACATGGCGAAATGATTGGAAGATGCAGGCAGTGAGCAGGTCTTGTTTCTGTTTACTACGTAATTAACTGTCACCGCGTGGGTGCTCGCCCGCTGAGTTTTGCAAGCCGGCCCCGAACTATCAACCCGAAGGCTAGCGTATCGAACTGAACTCCAGGTCGACCTCTACCGACAGCGAATAGTTTCATACGTCGTCTTCTGACTTACTGGCTGGCTGTTTGCAGGTCTCTGCTACCGATCCCAGCTAGCTCTCCAGTAATCGTCGAGACTCCGGAACGCACGTGTCTAGGCTGAGGTCGTAGGTCAAACGCGTAGGCTATATGCCAACCCCACCTACCCGCTCAACGCGTGCGCTGTAGCTACATACACGCCTAAGGTTGTTGTGTGGATATGTATGTATCTGTGTGATTGTGTTTTCTCTTTTTGCAGGTGGAGAATCACCGGTAAAACGCTAGATGAATGATGTCGAACCTGTGCTGTTGAATTTTTCAATGCGCATGCGTGTTTTTTTATAATCATAAACACCGCGTCAGCACGCGCACAGCAAACGGAAGACTCAACAATACTCTGTGTGTGCGTGTCAATAGAGATGTCACAGTCGTTTAACTTAGCTCTCGTTTGTTCCTTGCTGACGCTCCTTGGCGCAGGTAAGTTTGTAACTAAGCTCGATCTGTCACTAGCTAGCTCGCACGGGGGTGTAGCTCGAGCTTGTTCACACACCTGTATCTTACTTCTGTTCGGCGGAGTCGTTTACATGTCATGATGATGCTAGATCTGCGCCAATATGCGTGTCACTATAGGTCTGTGGGTAGCTGGGCAGTGCAGGGGTAGCTAATTGTGTTGGCTGGTGCATGCACAGGTTTTTCAGTCGGTGGCTTCTGTCAGGCCATCTTGCTATTGACTGAAAGGCTACTGGTAACAACGGTATACATACCGAGTCTTTTATGAGAACATAGGGCTTTCAGATCATGTGCCAATGATGCACTGACATTAGTAAATGTGTATGCTCAGCTTGGAAGACTTCCCAGGTGATGAAGCTTGAAACCCACCTCCAGGGGTAGATGTTAACGTCACCGGACTATTTCTTCTTCCACGTTAAATGCCAAGTAATGGCGCAGACTACCTCCAAGCTCCAAGTTAGGTTGTAGAGCACAACTGAGAGGCACTCATGCAATACACCTGACAAAGAATAATATGACTAATGACTCAAAGAAACTGCTTCATTAACGCGCAATTTGACACTCCTATATAACTGATTGGTAAACTTTGTATATACACGCTGCAACGAAAATGGCGTAGTGGAAATAAAGAATGTCATCTGCTGTCCTGGGTGTAGTTGACTTGCTTGCCTTGCCTTGCCTTGCCTTGCCTTTCCCAAGTTGTTGAGACATGCATATTATACTCGGTTTGGAGTTAAGCGTCTTTGGTGGTTTAATTACCCCGGTCTGCTCCTACATACTGAGTGGTTTGAGGTTTGCCTTGTGTTGTGTTGTAGATTCGAACCCCTACCAGCTGAGTTGCCCTGGTATCTCAGTTAGTAGAGCGCTTGCCTAGACGGCAGAGTGTCGTGGGTTTGAATCCCACCCAGGGCAGCTCTTCTTTTTAGCTCTCCTGGGTGTAGTTGACTTGTTTGCTTTGCTGTGCCTTTCTACCTCGTTACCAAGTTGTTGACACACGCATTACATAGAAGAAGTAGCAAGCAAATAGCAATGGGATGGATCAGGTCTCAAGTAATGTGCTCACATGTGCCAAAGCTTCTGTTGGGGGCCGGGGGCCTTAGGTGCAATGAGCTGTATGTAGGGAGCACTATGGATCATTAGCTGGTATGTGACTATGAGCTTATGAATAAGCGCTATTCACAAATTACCCCTATTTGTAGGGTGGGATATTAAAAAATTTGGGGGGTGTTAATCTTGTGGGTAGTCACTGATATATTAGCACTATCTCTTCCTCTAGCTCATGCTACCAGCTGTCCAGGAGTGACTGCTGATGGCCCCTCATGTCAAGACTTAGAGGACTGCACTGAACTGCAATGCCAGCTTCAGGCCAACGACTTCTTTTTGAACGGAACGTCCAGCATTAGCCTGGACCCTTGCGACGACCCTCCACTCATCACCTTCAGTCTTCAGTGGCTGATGGACGGGAGCTTCATTATTTTTACCTACCAACTGAGTGACTCTGGCACCATGCTGCTAACGGGGCCAGTCAATATCAGTGCCACAGTGGAGAAAAACGCCACATCTCTTTCTTTCTCTGTGAGTACAACATATTGTGTGACGATACAAAGGGAATTGACCATGAGCCAAACACTATACTTGTAGTGGATCAGTTGATAGAGATTATCCACCTTGCTTGGGTGTGCATACCACATTCCTTTCTGCTCAAGACAAGTTTTATTTGCCCATAGTGCACCACTCTTGCTGGTGCTTGCCACAGTATTACACACAGAGTTGGTGTACCTTATATATAGTAGTCTAGGTACAACACTGTATATATACACTGTTGCTCATGCTTTTATAAGATGACACATACACACACATGCTGGTACGGTAAATACCACCAATTATATATACACTCTTTCTCATGTATACACATGTGGGTGCACCAGATTGCAAAGTATTACATAACACCACCAATTTGTTATTGCATCACACAGGTGACATCGGTGGGTTTACAAGATGACATAGACCTGATACCCTGGGTACAGTATGATATAAACACCACCCAATGTCTCTGTTCCTCGGTGGAGCAACTTGCCGAGGAGATACAGAGCCCTATCGAGCACGACTGCTCGGCCACGCCCACCTGTGACGGGGTCACCTGTCAGCTAGAGGTGTTCGGCAACATGTTCATAGTTGAGACGGACATCCTCTCATGCACCACACCTCCCGCAATTGACGTCATCGTGAAGGATTCATCAGAGGACGTTGTCTATTCGGGAGTATTTGACGACAATACCACTGGCATCATTACCATCGCTGGTTTTGCCATTCCGATTGAAGTGTTGCTGATACAGCGTCCATACTCAATTGAAGTGGAGGTAAGAATAGCCTTTTAATGCTGCAGTTTTAAGGTGTGCAGGCATGTTCCACTTAGCCTCCCATATGATTCTGCTTTGGTTACCCAATGCTAGAAGTGAGTAGTGGCATGGGCGACAGTGAGATAGCCTTGTTCCCAGACCTTCCCCGCTGACTTGAACAATTACATGGTGTGATCGTCGCGCATGCAAGACACCATGTATAAAAGGGGCGAAAGAAGAAGTCTTTTAGGCGGGCCGTGTTCTCAGATATGGACACAAGAGTATGTCTGTGTGCTCTCCTGCACTTTCTTTCCCACAGGCCAATCTGACGCTGCCATTTTTCGGCACCATCAACATTGTGCCCCATCACACCATCATTCTCGACCTCAGCTCCTGCTCCGACCAGCCGCCTGTGACTCCGCCCACCGCCGTGCCCACCGCACCCCCTACTCAATCCCCTCCTCCCTCCGACGCCCCCTACCTCTGTCAAGCTCTGTATAACCTGGCCAATACGACAGGGACCGAGCTCTATTGTCTCACCGAGTCCTCCTGCACGGGCCTCATGTGCGAACTGGACACACACTCTTACTTATACCAGTTAAACCTGTTGTTCCTGCCACGAGAGAACTCTGTGAAGGCTCAAATTGTCTATGAATCAATCTACAGTTACTACTACCACTACTACCAGAAGAAGGATATAGTTGAAGGGAATCAGGAGTTTGAGTTTGAGGGGGGAAGAAAACGCACTGTGGTTGTGAAGGCTAATGTCACCAGCTCAACACTAACAATTGAGGTGAGAGAAAACAGATTATTAGTTCTCTGTTGATGTGCTTAGTAAACTAATATCCAATTGTTGGCTTGTTAACCCTCGGCGCGCATGCGCAGCGAAGGTTGCGGTAGTCGTTCTGTCTGTCTGTCTACTGGCACTACAGGCTACGAGGCTGCCTATTAGCGATACCAGCGGCTTCAGAACTATGCGAGCCTGAAATTTAAAATGGTGATTTTCCTGAAACGACTGTGTTCGAGAGATATGCCGTGAAAACAAGCGAAAAAGCCAATATGCATAATCGCACTGGGCTAATTACCGCGGTCTGATCTGCTCGTTCTGTCTACTTTGGGGCCCAGGAAGACACAACAAATGGCATGTATCGACTCCCGCATGCTATATACTACTGTAACTAGCCCGTGTCAGACTCTCCGCGAGCTACTAGCGGGAAACCACGAGTAAACGCATACAAATAGCCCAGCCCATCACGCGCATGCGCAGTTCGCCGAGGGTTTGCACTTTAGTACTTTTCATTCATATGGTGTATGTTCGTTTGTTAACGGTTTCGCCCATTGCTCTGGGTGCATGGTCTAGCAGCCACCTGAGTATTATTAGTGCATAGCTGGTTTAAATCGAGCAATCTGATTGGTCCACACGAGGTACTTGATTTCCCGTAGTATACCTGGGACGCTCCATAGTAAACCTTGTTTTTCATGTAAAATGTTTACATGAAAATGACAAGATCACGTACATAATCTACAGAAACATGTAGCTTTATCGTCTTCAATAATTCTTTTTTAGTTTCCACAGAGAGACAAGAAGTCTGGGCCTAGCTGTATGTAAGCGCCTGTACGCTAGCGCTAGCGGTACGTCACGCCCGGCCCGCGGATACGTGCGCGTAGAGTGGGCGGCGCCCTTTTCCGCGAAGCGCGGCGGACGGCGAGCGGGTGCTGTATATAGCTTCTGCCTACCGTTTCTGGCTCGCCGCTGGTGGCTGAAACCTCGCTCGAGTCGGTTACCAATCGCGTCTTCACTCTCATTCGAATTTCAGTCGCCTGGAAACGGGCGCTGTGCGTGTGCGGATTTGTCTGCTCTGCACTAAACATGTTAGTTACTCCGTATACTCGGGAACTACGGGATTTCAATGAACCCTCGGGACATCCGCGTAGTGCCCTCGCCGCGTAGTTGCCCGCGGGACACTACAACGCGGAGGCCCTCGGGTTCATTGAAATCCCGTAGTTCCCTCGAACGGAGTAACTAACTTATATTTATTATTATCCCAATTGATTCCCCACACTCGGTTGTCAAAATTTGTCTTATTCATTCATACTGCGTGGCTTGCTAACACCGACACCACCTAAATTTGTCCTCTCTAGTTGATGATCCCCAGGCTGTGTAAATGAATGGCTTGTGCTTGCTTGCCAAAATTTGTCTAACCACTGAATTCACATTTACACAATACAAAAAGCTAAGTTACATGACGCATCATGTGACCTGTGTGTGTCGCAAGGACCTTCAAGTGCATACATATAGGTTAGACGCGGAAGCGAGGTGTCTACGCTACATTGCAACCCGAGGGGCTGTGGAATGTTGGCGTCCCGAGCGCAGCGAGGGCGCTACCCACATGCCCCGAGGGTTGCAATGTAGCGTAGACAACCGAGCTTCCGCGTCTAACCGGTTTAGACCGGAGTATCTGATTGGTGTTTGCGCGTTCAAATGGGTAGCAACAAGCTAGCAACGCTGCGCTCATTCCTCATTCCTTACCTTCGGATGGAACAAGACGCTCTTTTTTTTACGTGTGAGACTCCGAGGAGACAGCCCCCGCCCCCCGTCAAAAATCGTTTACGTCATCATAAAACGCCCTCATTGGTGGTGCGCGTTTGAAAGGGTTAGCAACGCACGGCAACGGCCCAATGTGTTTGTGTATCGCCAGAGCTGAAGAAGCCGACGCTTTTTTCGTGGAATATTGACGTGATTTCTGACTTTCGCGAGCTCCGGAGACTGTCCACAGACTTCTTGCAGGTGCACTACGCATTTTAAAAGAGCTACTTTGCCAGTCGCGCCTTCTACACTTACATATACCGAACGCGGAATCGGCCGGTTTGCGCAGATAACGACTTTTGAGAATAGCCATTTTGTACGGGGAGTTTGCTGTAGACCACCTGCAAACGCCATTAGACACCTGAAACGAGGTGTCTATGAAAAATAAACCCCCCCGCAATTCTGTAATGTGATTGGTCAATTGCGCGTGACTGGGTCTAAACCTTAATAGTTCTAAGTCTGCTCTCATATTCGTGGCCCTAGCTATATCCTTTCTTCTGTTCTCCTTCCTTTGTGACTTGACCCAAAGACACACAGTGTGTGCGTACCATACTATTGTGAACCCTTTGTTAGGCTTTCTAACTAGCACACCCAAAACCTGTTGTTTTGTGCAGATTATCTTTATCTTTAAAGTGGATGGCCAACCAGACAGAACTCTCGTTCCCCCAACATCCATTGATCTTCCATCTGCCGGTAAGAATCACATCGTGTTTGTAAACCCAACAGTTTAGAGCCTCATTTTCAAAATGTGCTGTTTCCAGATGGTGTTTTTATGAACCTGCTGACTTGTTAAGTCACAAACTTGAAGCTTTACTGTAGGCTTGATCATTTCGCACTATAGATCATTATTATCAAACCTATACTTGGTACATGTAAAGCTAGAAGCCATATCCAGTCAGCTATGGTGCTACTAGCATACCCTATAATGCTTTCTATATTGCTTTGTTGCTAGGGTAACATGTACCAAGTACAGACTGAGAGGCGTACACTAGGGTTGTTATATCACATAGTTTCAGTGCCTCACAAACAAGGCCTTTACAAACACGCATCGAGAATCATTGTTTGCCTGTGTATATTATTCTACTTGCAGAGGGTTGTCTGTGGTGGCTTCCTGCCGTCCTGAATCTCCCCCAGTGCTCCTACCTGCTGGACTGCCAGGGCGTCCAGTGCATCAACTACTATGGAACTGTAGAAAAGTCGTCCGTCTTTATCGGCGAACGGTGTGCAGACCCAATAGCCGTGCAGCTAGAGCTTGCGGACCACAACGACGTAATTGTATTTCGCGGCAATTTCACCGAGTCTTCGGACTTTCGTTCTGTGCTCAGCCAGGAGCTGTACACTGGGCATGTGGACATATCTAGGAACGACACGGAACTCAGCGTTTCAGTAAGCCAATGTTACTATTACAGAAAAATAATGCTTGCTACTGTTATGCAGTCAGGGTGTGGTCCATCTTATAGTACATTATAATGTAACAGCTTACAGTGATAAAGGACCATAAAGGACATCTGTCTATAAAGGACACTCAATTCTGCCCCATACTAATAAATTAATTTTACTTCTGAATGAAGGGACGCCTCTGAACAAAGGATGTGTCCCCAGGGTGTGTTTGCTTCAATCCTGCAGGCCTATTTTACAGATGAAGATATTTTGGAGTCTCTTCTTCCGTACATTACTATTCCACTCGACCAGCAATCTTGCTCATGCAACTCTCTCACCGAGCTGGCCGCAAAGACTCAGTCGCCGCTGGAACACGACTGCACCACGAACGAGGCGTGCAACGGAATCCGCTGCGAGTTTGAAATCTTTGGTGCCTCCTTATACCTGGAGACCATCCTGCTGTCCTGTAACAGCCCGCCGGCTTTTGAGACTGTCGTTGAAGACAGGAACAAGAACGCCCTGTACACGAGCGTGATCTCTCAGACTGGGACATACCCAATCCAGGTTTTGGGGCTGGAACTCCCGATGTATGTGGAGATCACCCATCATGACTACTCCATGGACATATCAGTGAGTTGCCTCAGAACCTAGCCAGATAGCTGCAGTAGTGTTACTCTTGTGTGTGCATAGACAGGGAAGGCAAAATGTGGCAGAGTATACCGAACCATAACAAGTGGTAAATATTATACAATGTGAAGACTGAAGTGTTCAAACCGTGTGCTACAATAGGCATAATTATAGACAAAAGCCAGTGAAGGGCTCAGGCATGTCAAAAATGTGCACCGTATTATACACTACGGAGGACCAGCAGTGCTCCAATCTGTGTTCTGCCATAATATGTACCTATTTTGCAGGCAACGGTGTTCATCCCACTGGTTGGAAACACCACGTTTATTCCGCCCCACACCCTGTTCCTGGACCGCTCCTCCTGTCCCACCGCCATCCCTCCTCCGCTCACCCCACCCCCCACCCCGACTCCACCCACCTACCCCAACCCCTCCACCCCCACTTGTAAGGGACTCGTCGACATTGCAAAGGAGAACGCCAAAGAGCCGTTTGTGTGCCAAGTCACGACTGACACTGGAAACGAAGGGGAGTGTGACTCGCTCATTTGCCAACTGGATGTCGCGGGATCTAGCTACACCATGACACTGGTGCTGTACCCACAGGGGGGAGAGTATGCCACCTCGGTCAAGGTGGAGTCAGAGGATGTAGTCCTGACAGACAAACAAGTTAAGGAGGGGGGCAATTTGAGTGTGTCCCTGCGAGAGGGGGTCTTGGCATTCGACTTCCAACCCCAGCAGGGAAATGCTCTGGCCATCAAGGTTAGCTGAGCTAGTTTTGAAGCCCTCTTTTAATCATACTAAACACCAAGGATCTGTCATACACTAAGCATTGCTTTGCATTAATGTCAAACTTCCAGGCAGCAAAAGCTCAGTGCTTGTATATAATTATATTGACCAACTCTTTTAGCTACTCACACAAATGTTCCATTATCGGTACACAACAAGCATGTATCCAGACTTGTTTACTGTGTCACACAGGCGACCATTACCGTGACCAATGGACGGAGTACTACACTGATTGACTCACAAGTGCCCCTGGAAGAAAAAGGTCAGCAGCTAACACTGTTTCGAGACCACCTTCTGTTGTGCCTACACGTACTGCAGTAGTAATGTGCTTACTTAGCCACTATCATAATCTCCACCCTAAGTGGAAAGATGGCAATGTATAAGCTCACCAGATATCCAGAGATAGGGTGACGTGAATATATACACAGAAAGGAGATGCACTCAGTATCAAACCAATAACTAGCAGAGAGCACCCTTTCTTCTGAGCCTGATACAAGAGCGATAATTATATTAACAAAAAGTTCATCCAAAGTTTGTGGTTATTTCTTAAACGCAGGTTCCTCTGAGGCATCTTCTGGTGCTAGTGATGGAGTCAAGATTGGAGTACCTGTGGTGGTTGTACTGGTGGTTGTGGCTGCCACCGTGATAATCCTGGCGAGCGTCTGGTTGTGGAGACGTCGTGCCACACGCAGACAGTTTGACTTCAAGCCCATGCGATTCTCAGACGTACAAGGCTCGCCACAGAAGGAGGCCGAAGCCATGGAAACACCCGGGAATGAGTATGAACAAATAAGTTGATTCCACACTGACAACCTCAGAGTAAACATCGAGTGGTATTTATCTTGCCGCTGTACCAGTTAAACTTGCATACCATTTCAAAATTCAAGTGGTGTTTCGCACATTTAATCACCGTCTTTGTGTTTGTTAACCAAAATTTGAGTGGTGTATATTTCCACATTAATCACCGTTAATAACTTGCATACTGTTTCAAAATTTGAGTGGTAATTAATCTTGGCATGTTTACCATTGAACGACACAGCCAGCGCATAATAATACGCTTGCTCAGTAAGAAAACCACGTTTGCGTGTTGTTGTCTGTATGAATATATTATATTATATATATGACGGGAGGATGGTGATATAATGATGACATGAAATTGGGAGTTCTGCTAGTCTAGTGTAGGCTGTGCCCTCTCTGGTGGTCGGAGTTTCAAAACTTTGAAATGTGGTCCCATCTCTATACCCATTTGGCTGCAATGACAGAGACAATACCTCATGAATGGAGTTTTGCAATTATGCAAACGCCAAGTTTCCCAGAGCAGCACTGGTCTACTGGTGAAGATGAGATACGTAAAATATGGTGGCATATGCAACAAGTAACTGTTAGCGCCTCAGATGACCAGGTTTAGTCATACTCTCTCACACGAGAGAATCTTCCGGCAATTCCTATATATGCATCATCATCATCATTGGCTCAACACTAACCACACACACACACACACACTTGCACACGCAAGATGTTTCTCACTCGCCAAAAATCATTTGGTTACACAATAGGAAGGTGTACATATACCAGGTAACATTGCGGGTATCAGTACATATATTTTTAGCAACCCTGTACCTCATGTCTTGAGGAGTAAGAAAAATAAACTGTTTCGATCGCTGTTCCGATGCACACACCACCATCAATTTCATGCTTATCCGTCGATTCATCATATCCTGCATACGTACACAACACCTCACGTTCTATATACTATAGCAATAGCAGGTCACACTAACCATGAAGACGTCAAACTCGTCAAGACATCTGAACGGTGAATCGATGGCCTCCCACAGAGACATGATGAAGCAGACTGTGGTGAACGAGCGCTCGCCCACTGAAAGGGCTTTGGTGTTCTTGGTGGTCTGTGATCGCCTGCTGTGGCAGTCCATTCGCACCTCGGGTTATATAATTATACGTAATGAATTTCAAAACAGGCAATAGCTCTAGAATACGCTACACAACGTCCCTATATCAACACATATTATGCATCGACATATCGCTATTTTAAAAAAAACCCAGAGCAACATTTGGCTTGTTTGCCACACGCTACGGTGGTGCACACACACACACACACATGAAGTACAACATATTAATCACACCAAAGGTCAATACCGCAGCACAGCACACACACACACACACACACACACACAGCCTCAGCTGACCCATGTAGTCACGCGCTCCCACTGTAACGGGAGCATCTTCCGGCAATTCCTATAAACATTGTATCTTCATCATTGGCTGGCCACACACACACACACACACACGTATGTATATCACCACAGAACACACACAGTCCTTATACATGTAAGCTTTCCACCAGTCAGCAACACTCCTTGCTTTCCTCTCCCTTCTTTCCCCTCCTTCTAAATTCATGTTTTAGCTCCATCCCCCCCATCCCCCATTTCTCACCTCCATGCTAAGTGTTCCCTTGTCGTGGTTGAACCTGAGAGCACCATCGTAGTCCCTCTTCTGGAGGAAGTATTTGAAGTAGACACACGCCCTGGCAGTAATGGTGTCCTCCAAGGCACTGTACTGTTTGAACCTCAACATCAGTCCCTTCTGCAGTTCCTACATACGACACACGCGCGGACAAAGAACAAAGCATAATGAACAGAACGAGCTATAATTATAGGGAACAGTATAATAGCCACTGATGAAAGTCATACAAAAAAACTAAACTTTGGACTGATACAATTTTCACTATCAAAGGAATGCTTGTTGTGTTAAAAAAAGCCTCCCACCAACGAATCTTTTATCTTGCATAAACATCTCAAATCAGAATTTTGTCTCCATCAACTGTTCCCTCACAATAGCATATCCTGTGCCCGAGTGCAGGCATTCCCTGGAAAATGCTGAAATCAAACAAACAAAACAAAACAAAAACTTCCCCTATGGACTTTGCACTGTGAACTTTCGGAAAGTTCCGGAAGGAACCGTTGTCAGCATACCTTGAGAGCAGCCCTGTGTCCCCGAATGGTGGCCATTGTCTTCTCGTAGAGTTCCATCTTCTCGAGATAGTTCTTGGCGACGCCGTCTTTCTCCGCAGCGTGTGGTTCCTCCTGCTGGATCCTCCGTCGAAGCTTGCTGATCTCAGACTCTACGCTCTTCCTAGACCGCCTCGTCTCAATACGCTCACACACCTGCGACATTACCCAAACCGGCCACCAGCATAAAGTGGCCAACTTTCTTGAGTGCCAGCAACGAGACACAGTTCAACAGACCTTGCTAGCTTCCTCCGCTGTCTGCTGAGCTCTGCTCTTCTCCTCTGACAACTGTGTGACATTATGCAGAGTACATTAATATCAAAAACTCCTTTACAATGATGTAGAGTACAAAAAAACTTTATTAGCACACCAGCATACGGCTACTACACAAAAGTATATGCAAAGAAGATGAACGAATCCCCTATCATTTATACCATTCACACCCCTTTACACGGTACTTATATAGTAGTACACATTGACATGTACACAAGTTAAGTGTGACCTCCTCCCAAGTGATTAGTGACCAACCTTTTTCTCGACACTGGAAATGACGGCCTGTATTTCTGCCACCCGCTCCCTGAAGTGCTGCAGGACACTCTCTGCCTTCTGTCTCTCCTGCTCGTACTCTGAGTGCTTCGCCTGACGGAGAGGCGAAAGAGAACACATACGTAGTTGACTTGTTTGCCTTTCTACCTCGTTACCAAGTTGTTGAGACATGCATATTATACTCGGTTTGGAGTTGGGCGTCTTTGGTGGTTTAATTACCCCTGTCTGCTCCTACATACTGAGTGAGAGTATACTGTGCCATAGCACAGTGGTTTTTGAGGTTTGCCTTGTGTTGTTTTGTGTTGTGTTGAAAAGAAAGAGCTGTCCTGGGTATAGTTGACTTGTTTGCCTTGCCTTGCCTTTTTACCTCGTTACCAAGTTGTTGAGACATGGACAATGCTGCAGGTCAACTGTTACTTCATTCATAAATCTAGTGAACTACAGTCTATCTGACTTTACATGAGCCCTCGAAAATGTGTCCTAAACTTACCACTACACCCATTGGAAATTACAACTTTCCTGCTACTACGATGATCATTTCCCTCGCTAGTCCCATGCCATCCCAAATCAAGCTGTATGCCCCATAAAAGACGTATGGGATGCCACTGACTACAAGGAATCTACTAAAAGTAACCCACATATAATATAATGCACTGCATAGTACAATTTTTCTAAGTTTGACAATACAGGGTATTAGTGTTCAGGAGCTACCTTCATTTCCTCCATCTTGCCAGTGACCAGCTCCGTCTCAGACTCCACAGTGGAGAGACTGAGAGTACAGGCCTCCATTTTGGTCTTCAGCTCATCCAGCTGCCTCTCCTGCTCTCTCTTCTGCAGTACATACCAGAGATATTATATTCAGAGAGAGAGGGGGGGAGGGAAGGGGTTAAAGGTGCTAGGACGCAGGCGGCCCATATGGTAGCGGTGGGAAAAGCAGAGGCCTACACTGTACGTACTCTTTGTGGGTATGCAAGTAAAAGTAAGGCCAGCCGACAATCCCAAAAGCTGCTAATTCCCTCCAACATTTCCCCTGTACTATACTAATTAATTGTGGGTGTGGTCTGACCTCGTTCATCATCTCGTCAATCTTGGCCTGACATTCCTGGATCTCGCTCTCCTAAAGTAGACACAAACATTCATCACCATTACTAAGTACTTGGTGCTGAGCGTCTTTGTCATCGGGTCACATACATATGTGGCAATGTCTTCCTGGGACTCCTCCTCCTCCTCTGAAGACCTCAGCTCCTTCAGATTCTGTAGGTTGAACAGTTGGATTCTCTGAGTGTCAATACCACGCTGGAGGTATATAACTGCATACCAAACCTAGAACCCCATAATAACCATCACTGCACATGCACGCCTAAGGCTATGACAATTGTTAAGAGCTGCCCTGGGTGGGACTCGAACCCACGTCACTCTGCTCTCTAGTGGAGTGGTTCGTCTACTGAGCTACATACACTGGCAACTTGAGCGGCAGGGGTATATAGCCACTATACAATGCAAGGTAAGTCCCAAACCTCTGGGCATGCTGCAGGCACAGAAACCCAAGTCATAAAAGGTATACACACAAAGACTCGACAAAGTGTGCAGGACTAACCGTTTCAACTTGGTGTAACTTAGCCTGGGTTGCCGACAGCTTTCGCCGCACACATGACTCTCTGTCCTAGAGAAGAATAAGGTAGCCACACCCACTAATCATCCCCCTCACCCCTCACCTTGCTCATGGCCGACTCTTTCTGCAGCTCCATCAACCGGTTGTCCAGGTTGTACCGCTGGGTCTCCAGATCTCTCAGCCTCCTCTGCTCCTCCCTGAGAGCAGAACCAACGATGACGAGACATATATATATATTATATATATATAGTGAACCCATCCTCAGGGATTGGGGATATTTTGTGCTCACTCGATGGCTGTATCAACGCTCTCTTTGATGATACCCAGTGGACGTTTCTTGTTGGCGTAGAATCTCCCTGCCAAGATCTGGTCTCCTTCTATAGTGTAAGCCTGGGTTGGGAGGAACAAGAGAGCTCGATAAATAAGGACGGAAGAGTAAAAATAGGGAGAGAAAAAGAGATTGTTCGATAAAAAGATGTAGAAACAAGGAAAAAAAGATAGCGCAGCGAATAAAGTAAGAGTGAATAAAGAAGACACAGAGAGACGCAGAGGATGGGAGAATGTCATCAGACAGCAACAGAGAGGGGAAAGAGGGAGGGGTGAAAGACAAAGAATGTGGCAGTATATTTATATATGTACATAATGGTTAACTTAGAAACTGACACAAATTTCTTTCACTGAGCCCTATTGTTTAGCTTCATCTTTAGTGACATTTCTAAATTTAGCCCTCCCATACTGCCACAATCCCTTTACACCTAAGCTACATATCTCACCACATTGGCTCCCCGCGGCCTCTCCACCTCAATGACCCTCTCAGCCTCCAGCCTCTTCTCGATGAGCAGGTCAGTGTCCGCGTGACACTGGTCGATGAGTGTGTTCCTCACCTCCAGGTCCCCCACCTCCATCATGTCCAGGACTGTCGGGTGGTGCGTCTGGGGCTTCTGTACGTGACAGCAGGGAGTCAGTGTGCTAATTCTATGTGCCTTATGCCTAGCTGTGTTTGTTATGTATGGCTGGAAGAGAAGAATGGGGACCACTAGCCACACCCACTAATCACTCCATTTCTCAGTGTATGTGTCAATGTCCAGTCGTTTGAGTCAACACCTATTATTATGGTATGGCTGCCACATTTAGTTGCAAAGTCAAACAATACTTGAATTTTCGCTGCCAAGCACAAGTAACCTTGTATATATTATATTCCACAAAGCTGCATTCAATCACACACTCTTCCAAAAACAGACAACAGGACGTACCTTCCTGGAGACATCATATGGCCTGCCCTAGAGTGACAGAGACACAGTAGCTCCGTTAGTGAAAAGAGGCAAGTAGACCGCACATACAGTGTATCTGGAGACGATAATGTCGGGGATCATTCTCTGTCCGCGAATCTCTCTCTTCATATGGCCTCCAGAGTCTTCTTGTCGTAAGTGTTGTCCACAACAAAGGCCGAGAGGTTCTTGCCCAGTATCGCCTCTATGGCCGTCGACCAGCGGTAGTCACGGAGCTTGAACATCACACCTTTTGTGTTAGCAGAAGAGAGAGGAACGAAACGGGAAGGAAAATTTCGAGAGGTACAGTGTTAGGAGAGACACAGACACAACTCATAGGGGCAGAAAGAGGCTTTAAAATTGTGTAGTTTTCAGATTTGTTAGAGAGAGAAAGAGGAGGAAAGGAGAAAGGGAGACAGATGGAAGCAAAAATAATCGTGTAGAAAAAAGAGGATTGGCGGGGAAGAAAGAAAAAACGAGAGAGAAGTGCAGTTGGCGCACCGATGGGTCCCTTGGGGGGTTTCCTGAAGCGAGACTGAGCTGCGTTCACGGCCCTCACAATACCAGGCATCCATTCTCCGTAGGCCAGGAGCGTGTTGGCACGACTGGACTGGAGCATCTGCACCTTTCCCTCTCCCTCTCTCAGCTCTCGACTCAACTGGCCTCGCTGGCCACTGGAATGAAACCACATGCAGACGGTCAATATCATACCGCAAAATGTTAGCACAATATAATTGGATGTTTAAATATTTAACTGGCATATGCTGGTAAGAAGATTACATGTAGCTTGCGAAAACACCGGTGCAGGATTTGACTTCCTGAAAGTTATAGTAGGCAGGGTCCCTGAATATGGCTTTCTACCCCTGAACTATGGCTATAAGTGAGAGTAGTGTTGTCTGGTACCCCCTATACTTCTCGATAGAATAGATATGTCACCCTGAAAAATCTCTATAGAAAATGCTGGAAGGGTCGAGTGAGCTCACTCCAGTTGTCTCCTTCTGTCGACGTTGTCTCTCAGGGCTCTCTCCAGGTCAGTCCTGAGGGTGGACATTTCCTCCAGCTCTCTGCGCAGGTCCCCCAACTCCCGCTCTCCCTCCTCCACCATTCTCTGCCTCCTGGCTCGCTCCCCCGCCGTGTCCTGCTGACTCCTGGATCACACAACACACACCTCTGTGAACCAACCTTCAACTACCACATCCCATACACTGGACTCATACTTATGTACGTAGTTGAGCAGGATACATAATATTAAGAAGAACTGAAGAGGGCTGACGTATTGGTTTAGTGTATCATCTTTATTTCTTGACTGGAGTATTTGTTTGAAAGCTAGATTTTTCTATTTCAACGAGCCACTATGCCTGTAGGTTTACAGAGTGCTTCATCACATAATACCATGGAAATCTTACCTACTTAAAGAGCCAATGCACAACTCAGTCGCCTATTATCACACAACCACACCCTCCCTCCTCTCACAAAGGGCACACAGTCCCCATCCTCACAGTGTGATGAGGTCCTCCATCTTCTGCTGGAGGGCTGTCTTCTCCCTGGACTGGTCCTCGATGGCCGACTTCATTCTCCTCTGCTCGACTTCGCCTCTTTCACGTCTCTCTCCACCCTCTTCCTCTCCGCCGCCTTCTCCGCCCGTCTTTGCCCAACCTCCTGCGCCTCATTCATCACCTCCTCCAACTCCCTCCCCACCGCCTCACACAGACTGTCCAACTCTGTCATCTTTGACTGCTCGGTGGAAAAACAGCAACAGCAACGCACATTTGGCAAGAGAAGCGAGCGGTTCGATTTTTGTGTGTGTGCTTTACGAGCATTTAGAATCACGTAGTGTAACACTACGGTATGTTCAGTACTGGTCGGGTCGTAGGTTACACACAAAGAAAAATCCCGCATTCAGACGACTAAGGTAGGCTCACTTTGCTCGCCAAACGTAAGTCAATAGTGTGGCTGTTTTAAGTCACACTTCTCAACAATCGTGGACAAACTGAACGTTGTTTTGCGAGCTGACCCATCCTGTTAGCCCCCTAACAATTTTCCCTGATACTCTCTTGAAAACTTTGCCATCTTACAGCTCCGCATCAGGCGGTTTAGCCCACAAACCTCGGCTTTGGTTATGCCGTGCTGGTTCCTGGGAAGGCGGCTCCTCTCCTTGGCCAGATGCTCCTCCAGTGGACCAATGTTCTTCTCCAGCTCCATGACCATCACCCACTGCAGCTCCATCTCCAGTTTTCTCACCTGGTGTGTGGAGGACGTGTGGGGGACATGTGGGAAGAGGAGAGAGAAACAATATCGCTTAAAGGGAATGTGGTAGTAAGGGCTAAACTGTTGCTAAATTAGTTCGCTGAGCACTATTGTTTAGTTCCATATTTGGTAACAATTTACAAGGCTCTTCGTGAAGCTATCACTTTGTCTTTTTCATCAGGACTGCATGTTCCAGATTTCCTGTAAAATTCTGCTCTGAAACTGTGTACGAAGTTTTTTTACTTTGGTATTTGCCTCAAATTCTGTTGCTAAACCAGCACCTTGTCTTCCATCTCTTTGAGGCGATCAAATAGGTGGAGCCTTTCCTCCAGCAGTTTAGCCTCTTTCTTCAAGTCCTCACTGAGCTGTGAGGGACAACGTATGTAGATTAGAAATGTGGTTCAAGTAACGGTACTTGTCTCACAACTTCATTTCTTTCAATGGACTTTTTCATCAACGCCTGGTCTTCCTGGGCCCTCTCGTAGTCGTTCTGAATCTGCTCAAGTCGAGTTGCCTTCACAAACAACTGAGAAGGAAGATTAAAGACTAAACTCACACAAAGACACACACCCCTTTCATAAATGCCCATTTTTTCATGTAGTTGTGCTGTTTCACTTGCCTCGCCTTACGATACACGTATAAAACTTGATTAAACGTATAGAGCTACACACAATAGCCACATAATAATACACACACCTTGTACTTGTGTGCAGGGTTGTTGGAGTGAAGGAAGTGGCGAGAGGTGTCCTGGTCCAGGAGAGAGACGGGGTTGTCCACCTGGATGTTCCAGTGGTCCAGAATATGGACCAAGTCTTCTTTCTTGGTGGACACGGTTGACCCTGAGACGAGGATAGAAACACTCTAGACAAGGACAGACTACAGTGGAACCCTCTATATAGCTGCCAATGGGAGGTTACCAGATATACATGTACGTACAGGCAGCAACCACTGGAATAGAGTGAAGAAGGGGTAAGACCAGTTTTTGTCTGGGAGTTGTGGTACAGTGCATAGTGCACTGGACTTCCAGTCACAATGCCTATAGCTTACACTTGATGCACATTAGAACAACTGTGTCGGTACTCTTGAACAGGCTTTGATATAGACACTACCAGACTCAGGTCAATCAACTTTTGAAAATTAGACCCTCAACACTGATCTATAAGTTGCTGATGTAGAATGTACAAATTGAGTATAGACATGCCTAACATAACAGTAGAACAAAGGCCTTTTGATACACATCTTACCATGTATCATCTTCAAATACTCACACACTACACCAATAGTATCAGGTTCATGTACGAACTACACGCAAGTGTTGTCTCACACCATTGGTGGCCTTGATCTTGTACGAAGTGGTGCCATCGGTCTTGATGGTTCTATGCACTGTCACAGAGTCTCCATAGTCATCCGGCTTGTAGCTGTCCAGCCCACGGTTGCGCATAGTGATTATCACCTCTGCAGATCTACGTGGAGACATGCGAAACTGACACATACACAGGGCAACACGAGGTTAGTTTGTATGTACGTATGTATGTACTTGGCTCCTGTTCTGATGAAGTTCTTGAGGGATGAGGCTCTGTGAGTGGTGGTGGCCTTGCCTCCCAGAGCTACCATGATGGCCGTCATAATGGCACTCTTTCCACCTGGTAACAGGGAGGAGGCAGGGAGTAGTGAAAGGAGGAGGAGAGAGAGAAAACGAAGGAAAGGGGTACCTACTTCCATTTCTTCCGAGAATAAAATTGGTGTTGGGAGAGAGGGCGACGTCCAGTTTTCGGTGACACATGAAGTCGTTGAGCTGTATTCTGTCAATAACACCAGCTTCAGCCACTTTCTGGAGCAAGAGAAACAAGCTGAGACAACGCACGTACACCTGCTGAAGGCCGGGCTCGACCAGAGAGATGACTCACCCGACCGGTAAAGACGGGCTTCTCCTGACCAACTTCGTCCATGTCTTGGGACTGGACTTGCGACATCATCAGCTCCTTGTCGCCATCGCTCCATTCCTCTTCATCTTCCTCAGAGGACATCATGGTCCGGGACCTCTTTCTCTTGCCGGCAACCGCCGTCGACTGAGAGCTGGACGCCCTTTTCTGCCCCCTCGCTTTCCAGTCGGACATTTTTCTTCCCGCGCGCGCGTCCACGTGGGCCGACCCGCCTGCACATGCGCAGAATAACTACGGTAGAAAGGGGGAAAGTGAACTAAGCAGTCACGTAACACAAAAATTGTCAGACTAGACAAACAGCCGATTATTGTTGAAAATAAGGAGGTCGAGAGGAGATCAGGTTGTTCTGGAGCTGCTCCTCCGACTCTTGAAATCTCCTCTTTATGCCAGAGACGTTCGTCAACAGAGTCGAGTGCACCAAAATGTGTGCATAAACATATTGTGAAAGTTGAGGGATCTGGATTATTTTAACATTTTCACGGACCTACAACATTTTCTACGTGTCCCCAGCACAGTCATAATAATATTTGGCCTTGCTGCTGCCTCTGTTACCATCTTTCTTACTGATGGGAGTCTGAGATCCATAGCTCGAAAAGAAACACGAAAAGTTGCCCAAAATAAAACTCACTTCGGCTGAATGGGTCCCAATTTTCCATGCGGCATCTATGGATGATACACAGCCAACCCATGCATACCAACCAGATTCTTTGCCGGATTAGAGCCAAGATAATGCAGGGACTCCGTCTACAACCGGGCATTTGTAACATTGCTTTTGCTTACAAATTTCTCCATTAGACGACGCTGGTCGCTCACAATTTCTTCCTGCTGCTGAATTAGCTGACTGCACATGCGCACACGTTTAGCTAGCTCCGGGGGCTCATGCATGACACCCTTTACACGTGTAAAAACTGACGTCATTCTAGAGCTGAGAAGAGTTGGGAGTGTCTTCATGTGAGCTCTCGCCATCTCTGAAAAGCAGTCGCCTCCGCTCCTCATAAGCTGTTGAGATACTCGATCCTACATACCCTACACCACACACGTAAGTCGTAAGTGGAGCCTTAGCTATATCTACATACTTCTGAGTGTGCTTTTACGGATGTCCGTGTGCTACTGTAGTACACGCACGGAGAAGGCTGGTGTGTGCTTGTTAAGCATCGTTAAGGCCGGCCCTTAACTACCACGGACCCAACCTCCATCGAATCTGTGCTGCTTTAAATTTTATAGCTGCTGTCCAATGGCGTCGGAGCCGCCCTTCGGTGGGGCATCTATTCCATTTGGAGCCCACCAGCCTTCGTTCGGGCAACCAACAGAAGTCGGTTCTGGTACAGCTTCTTACTTCGGCGGTTTTGGAGGCGGACAAGAGTCTCCTACTGGCAATCCATTTTCCTTTGCTAACAGTTCAATTCCTTCGCTGCCCCCTGGTCAGGGGTTCCAACAGAATTTCCCGAGCCCCCCAAAACAGACCCCCGCATCTGTACCCAGTAGCATGACTGCTCCACAACATGACCCTGCTGCAGCTGTACAAGTGAATGTGGACAAACGACACCATCAACAAATCACTGGAGCTTCGAACACTGCCTTCAGTAACCAACAACAAAATCAGACAGATGATCTGTTCGAGTCGCTCTACCAGCTTCCTCGCTCAAAATCATCTCAGGCGCAGGCCAATTACAGCAGTAACGTGAACTCTCAAGTCCCGTGCAGTGGGTCCTCCAGTGCACCAGTGACAGGACTGGTCGGAACAGTTAACCAATACCCAGAAGGCCACCCTTCTCTGGAGAAACTCATGTCTCTTCCAACATCGTCATCCGGCTCCTTGATAGAGAGACCTCCGCTGAGCCCCGTTCTGTCTCTGCCTTCCAACTCTTTCACCAACGCCACTCTACCTGGGACCCAGTACATTCCGTATGTGCAAAGCTACCCTCACCTACCCACAAACGCCACAAATGCCGCCGAAGATTTCAACCCGTTCCAGGCGTCCTCTGTGTCCCAAGTCAGCACCAATGCTGAAACTCAATTGCCTTCAGAATCATCCGACGATGCAGGAATCACCATGAAAGATACACCAGATAGCCCTCCCGAACCGGCCGGTTTGACAAACACTCATCTGCACTCTAAGGATAACTCTGAATTGTCGGCTACGGAAAAGGAATATCTTTCGCAAGGGAAGGATGGGCGACACTTGCGAGGAGTCGGGCTGGTTGAGGCTGATCACTCGCTTGCCTCCTCCCTCAACCAGTCCATGTCTTCTCTGTTGGACAGTCAGGAGGATATCGCACAGCAGTCACCGGTCAAAATCCTTCCGCCGGCCCCTGTGACGAAACCTCTGCCTCCTCCTTCCTCCACCACCCCTCAACCGTCTCTGCAGTTTCCACCTCCGAGACAAGCCGGACACCTTGCCCAGGATCAGGTAAGACAAGCAGAAGAAACCAAGATTGAGCCTGCACCAGCACAGACTAGTGCTGCTGCTGCTAGCACGCAAGGTTTTCTACCTCCACTCCACAGCAGTTCACTCCCTGCAATGTCCTTGCAATCACAATCTGTTTCAGTGAGCCAGCCTCCACCTCTCCACACCTCACCCTACTTGGTGCCCTCTGGACACCCCACACACCCTCCCCACCATCAACTATGCACCACTTCAGAGGCACCCTCACACGGTGAGGTACCCAGAGAGGAAATGACTGGAGCTACACCTTATCCTCCTCAAGTTTCCTCAGTTCCACAAGGAACTGTTTTTGTTTCCCCTTTCTCTTCACAACCACAAGTTCCTGCCACAACAATGCCAGCTTCAAATATGTCAATGCCACCTCCACAACCACCCCCTTCCCAGTCTCAACCGTTGCTACAAACTCCTCATGCAAACCCAGCTTCTCACACAATGTCAATGTCACCTCTACAGCCACCATCTCCCACTTCTCAGCCTCAGTTGTTGCTGCAACCATCTGTGGCGTCTTCAGTGTTGCCTCCTCATCCACAGCCAATGCTGAATGCTGCAGTGGTGCCTCGGGCTGTTCTTCTATCAGCACAGACTGGGCTACAACCGACCCAGGTCCCTTACGTTTTACCACCTCCATCGAATATTCACGCACCCCCTGTGGAACATTTGCCACTCACTCAAGAGAGGACTAATGCCAATATTGTGCAACGCAGCTCGCACGATGGGATGTCAGTGTCAGTCCAACCTCCACCAAGCTCGCAATTACAGCAACCTACAGGATCACTGCAGCCCACGCCACTCAATAGCGGACGAGATCCAGCAGACCATATTTATGGAGAAAGTGGCCCACCGAATGTTGATAGCTCAAATGTGCAGACTCAACCTCCTCCGTTGTTTCTTCCTCCTGTAGCACGTGATCCGTTGTCAAATGCCCCATCGAATGCCGTGCTCTTTCAGTCCCAGCCGAGTATTCCATACAATCCCCACTCTCTGTCTCAACAACCACCCCTGCACTCTATTCCATCTAATGCCCACCAACCTCTTCCAGGTGTTCTATCTAATGCCCACCCACCACAAACCGATGCTGTCAGCAGTGTCCAGGGCATTACACCAATTGTCCACCAACCAACACCTGATGGTGCTATTAGTACCCACGGTGTCCGATCTAATGCAAACCTCACCCACTCTATGGCTCGGTCATTAGTAACTGGTGTGCAGCCACCTCCCCCTCCTACTAATACCCATGCATCATCTGACAATGTAGGGACACAACCACAGCATCTGTTGTCTACAGCCAACACTACCGGAACAATGGCCCCACCACTCAGCAACAATCCACCTCATCCCCAGAGTGTACCCCTCCATCAATTGCCAACAAATGACAACATAGCCTCGACTCCTGATTCCGTTTTCTCGCCGCCAAATTCAGAGGCTCCTCTGGCAGCAAGCGACGTGGCCACTGGTTTTTCAACAGTTGTTTCAGCTCATCCAGCTAATCCGTATTCGACTGGGCTAACATCAGCACACTTTTCTGCAGTTCCGCCTAAAGTACACCTCACTCAAACGCAGGCAACTTTAAAAACTCTGCCAAATGCTGGGCCAATGACTGTCAGTATGTCTCAAGCTCAGATTCCTCCAAGTTTTGCTCCACCGACTGGCAACTATCAACCTCTAGGTGTTTCCGAAACACCCTCAATTACTACTCCAGGCCTTGTTCAAACTTCAGCAACAAGTATTGGTAAATTCGAGATGCCCTCAATGCCACCTCAACCAGTCCCAAGTTTTCTCAGAAAGACCGAAGATCGTCAGCCTTCAGTTTCATCTCAATTTGCTCCCTCATCGACGGTACCTATCTCTGGCCATCCACACTCAACGGTAACAGCACCGATGGCTCCACACGAGCAAAGAGCTCCTGTTGTGGATCATCACAGACTTGCCGGCGGAAGACCACACCCTCACGGCCCCGCCTCCCACCAACATCCACTCTCTTCCCTTCCCCCACCTTCCGGCCACCAGCAGTCACACCGCGGTGCGGCAGAGCACCCCATGCCCCACCCTCATCACAATGTCTATGGAGGTAATAGGGGTGACGGGAGACCATGGAGACATACAACTGATCTGCAACAACAGAGGGACAGATATGACCCGTACTATGGCGAAGACCCCTACGAGTATGAGAGACACGGCCACTACTATGAAGATCCGTACTATAGAGATTACTATAGGCCAAGACCAGGTAGCAGAGCCCCACACGTGTACTATCAGGACCCACACGAGGACGACCCGTACGGCTCATACTACACCGAGTACGATCCTTACACAGGTAAATATTACTACGTAGAAGACCCGTATGGTGGTTATCCAGGCGAATATGACGTATACCATCGTGACTATTATGGGCATCCAAGGGAGGGTGTACCCGATCATGCTCGGTACACGGAACAAGGTGATCCCCACAGGCACACGAGGGAGCATACTCAAACTCAGCCAATCAGCCACGAGACGGGAGGATCCTACCCAGACCAGTCCACCATTGACGGCCCGGGAGGAGTGTTTGAAGAGGGAGGAACGTTTTTCGACTCCCCAGACACTCGCGGGGCCCGTGGTGGACCACAGCACCGCTCACCATACCACCCAGAGGGGAGCAGCATGCATCATCTGTATCCAAACCCTTCCCAATATGGTCCAGAGCCTCCCCTACAGCCAGACTGGGGCCCTAGCGAACCTCCTGTTGCAAGCGAACCCCTGGAACCTCCCATTGTCATCCGTAACACTCCCGAAAAGTTTGCCTGTCCTCATGTGCGGGCCAGTTTTGCACCGGGAGGTACACTTGTCGTGGTCCTCCCACACAATCTCCGGGCTTTCCAGCGAGCCGAGGTGGAGCTGTCGCACGTGACAGAGCTCGTGAGTGACTCGGTCCATGCCAACTTTGTGAGAGCCGTCTCTGAATTCCCTGGACCCTTGATGCCGGGAGAAACCCCGAAGAGTGTGCCCATTTCCTATGCCGCGAGACAGGCCGAGCAGTGCCGGGCCAAGAAGCAGGCTGGAGAGGAGAATGAGGAGGATGAGGCGGTGCTAAAGGAGCTCAATGACGAGACACTGCTCTGGGAATTTCTGGTGCTCCTCTGCCAGCAGAATGGAGTTGTGGTGGCAAGTGACATCTCTGAGCTGCTCACGAGGGAAAGGGCGACCGTTATCCCCAGTCGAACTCACGTGGGACCCGGAGATCAGGAAGATGCACTGGAGAACATCCGACAGCTTCTCATAAGTGGAAGGAAGAGGGATGCTCTCGAGCTGGCCTGCAGCCGATGTCTGTGGGGACACGCTCTCATGTTAGCCAGCAAGATGGACGAGCAGTGTCGTACGTACGTCATCAACCGCTTCACGGCAAGTCTGGTGACCACAGACCCCCTGAGTACCTTCTACACACTGATGTTGGGAAGAACGCCATCGGCTGTGAAGCCCGAAGGTCTCCGTCGTGCCGGGAGCTGGCGTCCTCACCTCGCCATGATTCTCGCCAACCGAACCAACAAACTGGACAACACCAGCATCATGACTCTCGGGGACTCTTTGCTGGAGAGCGGTCATCTCTGTGGGGCCCACTTTTGCTACCACCTAGCAGATATACCGTTCGGAGTGTACGGTAGCACCACTTCCAAGTACCTGCTGCTCGGGACGCCCAACAGTGAGCTGGCAATGGGAGCATTTCCACGACCTGAGCACCTCAGAAAGATGGAAGTATTCGAGTATGCCATGAGTCTAGGGAAACTAGAGTACGTCCTGCCTCACTTCCAGGTGTTCAAGTTCCTGCTCGCTCTTCAGCTCACCCAGTTTGGAATGGTAGCAAAGGCGTTCAAGTACTGCGAGCAGATAGCGGCGTTCATCGGAAAGTCTCCTGGGAAGTTCTCTCCAACTCTGCTGCACGTATTGGACGACCTGTCCACCCAACTCCACCACCTCAACCATCCTCACGGAGTAGTGGAGACAGAGCTACCGTCCTGGCTCCTCCAGCTACAGCAGACATCCAGTGACATCATGGCTGGGAACTACACCTCCAGTGCCCGCAGTACTCCCAGTCCCACTTTCAGCTCTGTCAGCCAGGTGTACGGCCAGGGTAGGCGCAATTCATTCGTAGGTACGGCTAGACATCAGTTCCTGAAGGTGCCTGGTAACTCGTACAAAGCCGGCAGCGTTGAATCCTCGACGGCTACTTCCAGCAAAGAGGGAAGTCTCGTCGGTGGCACCCTGCCTCTAATGCAGTCTGCAGCCCAGCAGGGAGCTTACCAGCCGAGCAGCAACCTGCTTGTGTCACAACAGCAAGGCCTGGAGCCTGTACAGCCACCCCTGGACGAAGGTGGGGTCCAAGCTGAGGAGGTCCCTTACTCACAGAGCAATCAGCACCCGGAGCTAGAGGAGACGGTGCCAGTTTCCAGTGGAGTCGATGGGACTATCACTGCAGCACAACCATACTACACCACTCAAGACCACATGCCATACGGTGGCGCATACGCGGCTACAACTGACCCTACTACTAGTGAAGGAGACTATGGAGTGTTTCAGGTTCCACCAGCATCGGAGCAACACTCTACTTTCGCTGGAAGCTCTGGTGAATTTGGTGTGACAAATGCTGCTGTGGGAGATGTGCAGCCTCAACCGGTGGCATCGTATGAACAGCCAATGTATGGTGAACAGCCAATGTATGGTCAAACTTTAGAAGTCCAACCACCTCAGTGGCAACAGTATCCAGCCATGGAGGGCCAGGGACAACAAGGAGAGCAAGAGCAGCCTGTACAGTTTGGGTACGGTATGCCCGCGACTGATCCATCGCAGGGTGGGATGCTTCAACCAAACCTACAGCAACCTCCGAGCCAGCCCGAGTATGGAGCCAACGTCTGGGATCAGCAGTACGCTGGACAAGCTCCCGGGGAGACTGTTTTCAGTAGCAGTGGAGCCAGAAACACACCTGCAGTAGCTGGCGATACCGGCAGAGAAGAGAGAGAAGTTAGGGAAGAGGAAGAGAAGAAGGAGGACACGGAATCAAAAAAGAATAGTAAGTTAGGATCCGTGGTACTGTACATGCGTATTTGCATAATGTTTTTCATAGAAGACAAGCCGGGAGCAGAACCGGGCACGTCGGGAGGTATATTGTCGTTCTTCATGAAACCGTTCAGGAAGACGGGCCCACCGAGGGCCAAGCTACCGTCTGACAGAGAGCCCAGCGTGAGAACATTACGTGGCACTTGTCGGACAATGATATATTAACTGGGAAACAGTGCAGATCCACTTAGAAGCCTCTGAGATTGTGTGTATAGAGGTTCTGTTTGTGTACAACACGCATGGACTTGCTATTGTTCTCTGCTGCAGATTGTCTGGGACAAAGAGAAGGGTAAATGGGTAGACCTGGATGCTGGAGATGAGGTAGCACTTTCTACATTGTCAGTTGCACCGATTGCTTTGACCAATACATGCTCTTGCGCTACGTTACTGATGCACTTATAGTGACACCCTCTCTCATTGTCATCCACTCAGGATGAGCAAGAGCTGGCCCCTCCACCCACTGACTCTAAACTATCATCGGTGAGACAGCAGCAGTGTGGACAGGGGACTGACTCAACTGATGGGACCAGGCCCCCCGGTCCTGCAGAGGCTTCTCAACCCACGGGACAACCACTCGCTGCTCCACCAGCAGTGTCTAATGCCTACTCTCGCCAGGTGTGTTTGGCCGTCCAACCAGAGCAATTCCCAAGCCTGGTCTCCATATAGTCTTACTCTGTCTTGTGCGGCCTGTCAGCAGTCTGGGGAGTGGACTTCGTTTCTTCTATTTTCAAGACCCAGACTTGCGTGGTCGTATGTAAATGAGTCTTGCAAGTGTTTCCATACCGTCATCAACAGTATGTATGTCCAGACCGCACAAGACTGAATGGAGACCAGCCTTTAGTACTGTTTAAGGTCCACCCTAGGTTTTTATGCAGCATGCAAATTTACAAAGAAACGTGAAATTAAGTGGGAAATTATTTTACTGCACAATAATCTTGTCTATATATATACATATATCTGCACAATTTTGTGGGGAAAGATGTCTGCAAATTCATATACTGTTTTGCTGCACAGGCAATGGGCAGGAGAGGTGTTCGCTCAAAGTATGTTGATGTCTTAAACCCAGCTGGTAACAGTGTGGGTGGAGCTTCCACACAAGCTCCACCCCCTAGTATGGCCCTGCCTCCCATGATGTCGGGTGGTGCCCCGCCCTCTTTCTTCGTTCCTCAGCAACCGCCTACAACATCAGGTATGTCGGTTCTGCTGCAGCTGAAAAGTGCCATCTACACTGACATACAGACAGTCAACATGTGCACACGTGTCAGAGCAATATAGGCACTTGCAAGTATGTATGCGCAATGTCACGCATACATAACCCTTGTCTTTCGAGTAAGGTTTGCTCACTGTCTGTATATAGCATTATGTGTGTATATACATGACCACATTGTGAGTGTGCACATGTGTTCTGTGGTAATGATAATTATTCCCAGGGGATTTATGACTGCGAAAAATGTGTGTAGTAGTCAGCAATGTGTTGAATGCTCTACAGAAGGAGGGGAAGTTGTGCCAGTGACAAACACCCAAACCACCACTGCCACTGCGACCTCAACACAGCCAGTGGCCAGCTCTCAGTCAGACCCTCACACCAACCAACACCCCTCCCACGGTACTCCCATCTTGCATCTTGGCAAATGTACTCACCATCACCCGATTTAAGTATTCACATTTTCAGACATCCAAATTTTTGTGTTGTTTGAGGAGAAATTGCTGCCCTTTGTCATTTGATTTTGTGTGTTCTGATGAAACTGAGGCGATGCTTTGTGAAATATTGATTTCACATATTTGTATTCAGATGCAACTGAGGTAATGGGAGTGCCTCCGTCCACTGCAGTGGAGTCATGGCCTCAAATGCAGACAGCACCTCCTCCAGCCCATGATCATCATCATCATCATCATCACAGAGATGACCACCGCCATCATAGAGCCCCAAATGTCCCTCCCCCAGCGTCAAATGAGCCGTCCCAACCACCCCCACCCACTCAGCAGGCAATGCCTCAGGTTAGGACCTACTGGAACCTGGGGCATGCTTTTGTCCTTGATAGGGGGGCAATGCCTCAGGTTAGGACATGTATGTGTTACAGTGGAACCTCTGAAAAAGGGGGACACTGGGACCAGCCTTTTTAGGGAGGTTTCGTCTCTTGGGTGTTAAAAATGTAATATTATAAAGGTGTACATTTCGGACCTCAAAGTGTGTCCTTTATGGAGGTGTTTTTCCATTATGTCCAGGTTGCACTGTATGCACTGTCTTAAGTGATTAACCGTGATTAACCTCATTTTCACTCAACAGTTCTTCAATCCGAGTGCCTTTGCCCATGTGTCCAGTATGACTGGACCCCACCGTGACCCCATGGATGATACAGTTAGTTCACTATATATTTCTTATATAGCTCTAAGATACTTCAACTTGCTTATGAAACCTCTTATGATGTGAAATGTTTTATCTCTTAGCAATCCACTGTCAGTGAAATGTCCCAAGAAGTTAGCAGAATAAACAGCCATCAGGTATGTTGAATCATTTTCTTTTGTAGAGGAAATGTTAGTTTAGCAAATGTCCCCACAGATGCTGCCAGCCCCGAGAGCACCAGTGATGGGCAGTTACAACAGGTTACGTCATGGGAGAAGAGTGGCATACCCTCAGCAGGAGCTCAGTGGGCCTCCTCCCAGACATAAATAGTGTGAACGACTTAGCTCTGTATGTCTCACGTTAGCTTTGGTGCAAATTTTCAATCATCAAGTTTATGCCTGGTTTTGTGTCGTGTGTTAGTCTGTCTCTCTGCAATATACGATTTTTGTGCAAGGAACCCTTATGGCTATTTACAGCATTCACACAGCAAATGTATAGCCGGTATGAGAAAAATATGCTAGGAATTAGTGAGAGTGACCACAAAAGTGTGGTGGGCAAGTTTGGTTGTGTTTGATAAGTGGGCATGTTTAGCTAGCTACTATTTTTATTACAAATTCCCTGGAATTTGGAATTTACTTGGAGTAACAAGGACCAAATACACAATATTTTGCTAGTACTTATCTCTTGTCTGTTCATATGCTACATTCACCTACAAGTAAATGACCACCTCTCGCGTGTGTTCATAAGCTTCATTTTCTTGTAGCTGCAGCACCTCTCTCTGTTGGTAAGCTTCATTTTCTTGTAACTGCAGAACCCCTGTCTGTCCATAAGCTTCATTCCCCTTCGTCGCTACAGTTTCAGAGGGAGTTGTTTGGTTTGTAGCAGACAGATCTTCAAGAGGTTGTGGTTGGATAATACCATAGGCCGTGTTCCCCTCCAACTTAACCCTCTCTGGTGGTAGATTGGGTGGCTCCACATAGTCATACATTGGCTGTTCATTGGGTTGTGCCATCAGTGACTTTCGTCTCCTCATTACTACACACATAACCGTGACGATTACAGCTACGGTCAGACTTAACACAAATCCTGCAGCGGTTAGTCCAGCAATCAAAAAGATCTCTGATGATTTGGAAGGAGTGTTAGTTTTTGTAGCAATGAGAGTAGGGATCTCTGGTGATTTGAAAGGAGTGTTAGTTTGCTGTGTGGGGGGTGGATCTGGGAGTGAAGCTGGCGGTATGGCTGGTGATAGCAGTTGCACTGTAGGATTGGTGGAGCATATTATAAATTTGAGGACTTCAAAATTGGAACACTTGGTTATAGTGCAACCCCCCCTTATAAGGACACACTGCATGATCAACTGAGTGCAATGCAATAGTATGGGAAGAACCCTACTCACTTAGGAGGATCACATCTGAAAGACCAGCATACTGACATGTGTAGATCCCAGCATCAGCTTGACCAGCTTGTCTTATCTGCAGTTGTGACTGATGACATGTCCCATATGCACACAGAATGTTTATCGACTCCAAAACACTATATTTTCCGGAATTGCTTATGATCTGTCCATTGAAAAACCACCGTATTTCTTCAGTCCATGATACCTCGCCGGCCAAGATGCACTCCAACAACACAAAATCATTTTCTTCAAAAATCACAGTTCTCTCGTTTGGGTACAAAACCACTGAGGAAGAATATCGGTGCACAAAGTTGACACAGCTAGACTAACTTATGGTTTGTCTTACAAACTTATATATAGACGCAGACTTTTACTCATGATTCCTGTCTCTTTGTTTTTACATTAGGCTTGTAACAGATGTCACTATTACGATTACTGCGTAGTCTTGTATGCACGTTAAAGAGATGTGGTGGTGGTACTCTAATTTTTTAACTCACATTCTACATCAATGATAAATTCCTCAGCAACAGATGAAGCAGGAAGTCCAGTGCCAGTGGCATAACTGGCAGTACAGGTGTAGTTCCCCAACACTTTCCCTACTCCGGGGAACCTCAATGACTCTAGTCCGTGTGCCATCCAGTATCAGTTGACCGTCCAGAATCTCTTGTTGTGTTGTGGAGGAGACAGAGTCAGGGAGTGTCCACACCCACGTGAACCTGCCCTGGTTGACCACAGTACAGGAGAGTCTGATGACGTCATCTTCGCTGACTCCTGTCCTGTTGGCTGGTAACAGAACAGTTGACCCGTTCACTAGCTGTATTGGTTCACTGTTCAGTCTCACTGAGAGGGTCTCTGCTGCAACTTCGGCTGGTGGGCAGAGAGATAAGAAATTATATGGTAGCTACTCTAGCTTGAGTAGTAACAAAATAGCTTACCTACGTCAGAACAGAGCTCTACTTCACTGAGAGCAAACTGCTGGACGCCACTAATCAGAGAGAATGCAATGTGAAAACGATTAGCATCTCCTACTATACTCTGAGTCAGAGCTAGTGTCACATTTCGGACTTGCGCATCACCAGCCCCGAGGTCCTGGTTACCGAGGATGGTGTATGGGAGAGGCGCTCCCGGCGTCGTTTCACTTGTTGAGCCAGTAAGATTAAACTCAGGTAGACCTATTCCAAGTGCCGGGTCATGATAGAAGAACAGGTTTACAGTTCTCACTGAATTTAGAGTACTAGCCACCTGAACGTGTTAGCGTGATCCTGGAGACCCCATTCCAGGCTATGAACTGTGAATAGTCAACTCTGTCTGAACCATCTCCATATTCTCCATCAGTGAGACGATTGAGAGTGAGAGGCTCAGTACTACAGGCACAGAGATGTGCTATTAATGCAGTAGGTAGGGATGGTTGGACTGCCAAAGAACTCTCCAGGGAAAGTGACATGGAAGATGATCCGAGTTGGATCCACTGCAAAAAACGTTATAGTTAGTTACAGGTCACATCCTCTTCGTCATAGCTACCGCCAAACCGGAAAGAAAGACTATATACTGATGAGTACCAAGCTAGCTCTAGCTACTTACATTCTGTGCAGAAAATTTGGCAGATGATTGAAATTGATGGCAGAAGAAAATCAAGAAAACGTAGTAGCTCCTCCAGTGGACCTCATTATGCGTTTCGCAGGCACTGCGCCGTGGCGGACGGTGATGGCGTGACGGTGAGCTGTGCGCGAGAACAAAGTTTCACGTTTCAAAGTTTATGTCTTGCCACGGAAGAACAGGACACTTCCCCCGTAGGTACGCATGCGCAGCGAGTACCTCCCATGTCTCTCTCCTCTCAGGTACTAACTACTGAAGAAGTGTAAAAAAAGTGGAGGTTAAAACTACTAGTTCCAATGGCTCGACTGCTACCAGCAGCCACTCAAGAAGACAACGGTCTCTTCCAGTGCTCTCTACAAAAGTTTTGAGGGAGTGCCATCTCTAGCTACACTGTAGGCACTCAGCCAATGTGTAAAATCTTCAGTGACTGTGCATCAACACTAGCGAATGACACTAATTCACCTTCAAGTACCTACACGGCTGTCTGTCTGCTCATAAGCTAATGATATGCTTCAGCTTTTCTCTTTTTCGTAACCAGCGGATCTTGTATGCGGCGTCCATTTCTGCTAGTGTTTCGTTGGTCGTGCAGAGCACCAGAATGAAGTTGTGTTGGATCTGAAGATGAACCTGTTGCTAGCTGTTGCAATACGTATATACACGCTCTGCAGTTTGCAACCACCAGGAAGTTTATTTGCGCATGCGCAATTTGTGTTGTTTTAGCTAATGGAGGGAGTGTCTAACTCGGCGAAGGATCTCCTCTCAGGAGCTCAGTGTGTGGCCACTGGCTGCTACCACTCACTGCTCGGAGTTCTTCCGGTCTTTCACCTGGTGCAGCAGTAAGTCCAGCTAGCCTGTGATGCCGTGATTTCCAATTAGAGAGCAACGCTCTTGACCTTTCTAGTAATGCCAAAATCAGACGACAGCTGCTCCAGTGTTTCCTTCTCAATGGAGTCATTCTCTGTGTACGTGTACCTAACCGTACGTTACCATTTACAAGCTGCTACTAGCCGTTTTTTTTCTAACTCCATTCATTTGAGTGTAAACGTGCTCCTTTTCTTACAACAGCTTGGAATCCTCACATTTGACTATGTGTTTCTTCCAGGAGTGCAGCACTTGGCAGGGAGGATGTACGGTACAGTTACTCACCCTCACCGTCTATTTTACATAATCACTCTTTTCTCTTATCGCCATCCCCTCGCCCAACCATTCCCAAGGACTTGTAATCTCTTCGCCTGCAACTGAGTCCCATCTGCTCCAGTGGCTAGCCACATTTCTACACTACCTGTTCACTGGACTGTGGGTACTGCCTGTCTTCTGGATCAGCAAACCCATCAATGTCATCTGGTTTCAGGTAATCATCAGCTTCATTTCCCTCCTTAATTAACTGCCTAATGTACATACAAAAACCAGTAGGTTTTCTTCTGCCACTATGTGAAATGTGGTGTTTCAAACTTTATGTAGGATATAGCTTCTGCAGCTCTGAATGAGAGTCAGAAACTCAAGAAAACCAAGTAAGTCAACTGTCATCTGCCACCTGCTATTGATTTGGTAACGTGGTCTGTTGTTTCATTGGAGGTCCCAGCAGCAGTCCAGTAGTCAGTCAGTGAGCCAGAGCATCAGCAGATTCATCGCTGACCTCCTGTTCTCCATCCTCCTCCAACTCCTCTTCCTACTCCAGGTTATACACTATAGCTACAAGAATAACTGAATGTATGGTACCAGAACGACATTGTATTGGAGTGAATGTGGCTGCAACGTTTTAGTGGTGCTACAAATGTAGAACATTATGGTACGGGTCACAGTCTCAGTTTGACTGGATAGTGATATATGCAAAATGACATTCCGGTTACTAAATAGGCTCGCTTCTCTCACCAATTTTATATACACAATGCACTTAGCGAGTTTACTAACCAAACATCACGACATCCGCCAATGTCGGTTTCTTCTTTATGTTTTGCTCCCTGTCCTTGCGTGGTGCTATAATGTATGTGTAGGCAATGGTGGTGGGTCTAATACCAGGAGTTGGATGGCTACTGAGTCTGCTGCACATGACCATTCTCTATTCTTTCTACTGCTTCGAGTACAAGTGGATGCACGATGGTAATAATATGACCAACACATATAGACGAATGCGGCAGCTATATGTTACAATAGGGCTCAGTGCTATATATAATGCAATGTTTACGTTCAGTAATAACTGTTTCTAAATTTAGCACTGCCACATTCCACACACAAGTAGTCCTTGCCAGCTAGTTTTTACTGTAAAGTATACTGCGCGTGGCATTTGAACAGTGGAGAGCTGAATGCTGTGGGTTTGAGTTCCACCCGGTATAGCTCATCCTTTTGACTAGGTTAGAGAACTTAATGCAGTTGGTATTGCTCGCCATGCTTTGTTGTGCATCATGTATATAGATACAGGAGATCTCATTCTGTCTGCAGGTTGGCCAGTGCACCAGAGGATAACGTACCTGGAGGCAAGATGGACCTACTTCATTGGCTTTGGTCTGCCCCTTGCCTTCCTTGCCTCCCTCTCAGGCTCCTTGGTCATCAGGTACATACAAACCATGTAGTATGGGTAACTTCACACATCACATAGAGTGAAACCCTTGTTCCACTTTGCAGTGCCAGTATGTTTGCCGTGTCATTTCCTCTCTTCGTTATAAGTGCCACTTCAGCTAAACCTACACCTTCAAGGTATATTACGTATGGTAGAGCACTAGTCTAGAGAACAGAGTGTCATGGGTTTGAGTCCCACCTAGGGCAGCTCTTTTTGTGTCCTATATTGTGTAGTTTGATATGCACTAACAACCACCTTGTGCCCCTTGATGGCCTGATTCATGCAATCATACTGCACGGGGGCAATAGAGCTAACAATGAACTCTTCTTCCACAGGTTACCACCGCTGCCCATATTCAACTTAGTCATCAACGTCACCAACAAACTGGCCACTAGAACTTCACCCCGGGGACGTGGTGGAACAAGAGTAACACAGCATGGCACACGATACTAGAACCTGTCTGGCAGCATTATATGTATGTACAGGTCAACCCCAAAGTCTTCTAAGAGGGTTGACCATTAAGTAACATGTCCAACTTTTTTTCACTTTTTGCTGTGTTTGTGAAGCTATTACGATAGCCTTAAAAGTTTGTGTTTATATTATTTTCAACCACCATACTATATATCAGATTTCTGGCTCCATGTAACAGTATTATGCATGTATAATTATGAGGCAAACAGGCCAAAACCCAAGAAGCTGTGCACCGTGCGAGCATAAATAATAACAACATCAGATTATGGAGACTTGTAAGTTGTTGCCGAGTGTTTCTCTCGTCTCGGTGAGTATCATTGTGTCTGGCAGCTCACTCCCGGTCCTCCTCCTTCCATACGTATTCTGGTTCTGTCAGAGTAACCTCCGCCATGCCCCTGTATATACAGCAGTTGGATAATAGACGGCATTGTCAGTATGAAGGGTGAAAAATGGAAAAGTCAAATGAAGTGGGATGTGAATAAACAATTCCTAGTTGTGTCAGCAGTTGGATAATGAGAGAAAGATTTAAATGATCTTCGCTCTCAGTGTAGGATATCTTGTTTACTTGTTTCAAACGGAAAAAGTTGTGAGAATGAAGGGTGTATATATGAAGGGGAGTTCGAAGATGCCTATAACTCCTCCAAGAGTCCACTATAAGAGATTCCCCTGTAGTAACATGTGGTGGAATACTGCGATAATACTCACCGACATTCTTCTTCTCCGGTTCTCAGTCTCAGGGTCAATGTCCTCCAACTCAGCCTAGTGTATAATACAATGCAAGTTCAATGGCAAATAGAGTGTAACTCATGTTCAAAGGGAATGTGACAGTAAATCAATAGGGCCCAGTGAAAGAATAACAGTCTCTAGATTAAGCCTATATTACTGCCCAGAGGAGGTTGGACACAGTCACATGATCCAACACATATATTTCCCGTGCCATATATTATCAATGGAGAAAAAGCGAGGTGATTTTTCGCCACTGCTGCCACACTCCTTCAGTACATGTAAAGGGGTCTGTTGGCTCCCTACCTCCAGATAGTCCTCGGGGTCTTGTTCGGTGTCCATCTTCTCAGGGTCTTGCGAGGGAGGGGGGAGGAGTTTGGACAGTTGCTCCAGTTTGGGCTCGGGGAGGAAGTGGGACACTGGAAACCTCACCTGAGAGGTCAACACACACACAGCAATGGACGTGTAAAAGAGCCTATAGTAATAATACTCAAGAGACACCATGGACCATGTGTCATGACGAAGCAAACAGTATAGGCACATGAATTAATACTCAACGTTTTTACTTTCAGGGCAATCAGCAAATCAGTTCTTTGAAAAATAATAAGGTGACCCAGAATAAAGCCATTTTCTGGGGGGTGGGATGAAATTGCCTCTTTGCCCCCCCTCCCCCTCCGTCAGATAAAACCCTGATACCGGTATCTATCTTATCTCCCAGACATAAGTGAAATTTGAAGATTGCAGCTCGAAGATTTGCACCAAACCTAAATGCTATTGCTTGCTTACTTTAAAGTTGATGATAAGTCGACCTTTGTCGAAAGGATTCTTGTGATGAGGCATCCCTTCATTTAGCACCACTTTCACATCGCCTAAAGAGATTCATAGACCATATACATACATAAATGGAGTAGAGAGTCAGGAGTTCGGCAGTGTCCCCAAAAACCAAGAAATTCGTGTAGTTTACGCCTTAATAATTTCTCATTATAGCATACACATTAAAAAACAGAGAGGGAAGGAAGGAGGGGTGTACCATGTTTAATGACATCGCCAGCGTGAGTGGAGATGACCAGTTGCCTGTCGTCCAGAGTTCTTATGATTCTCTTCAGTCCACAGAGAGCCTCCGACAGCTCAATCTCCTGCAGACAACACAACACATCATCTTCACCCAATACCTCCGAAAAAAGGACACTATGGGGGCCAAAATTTTTGCCTTTTTCGAGAGGTCGTCCCTATCTCGGAGGTCAAATAATACACTACATAGAGTATTAGCATGTGGTTGAAACAAGTGTCCCTTGTAGAGAGGTCGTCCCTATCTCAGAGGTCAAATAATACACTTAAGTATTGGCGTGGGGTACAAACAAATGTCCTTTGTAGAGAGGTCATCCCTATCTCGGAGGGTCCCTTATTGGAGGTTCCACTGTACAGTTATCCAGCCCAACTCTCTAAGAGACGGACCATTTGCTTAGAAAAAAGTGCAGCACCAAAAGAGGTGGGTAAATATATACAGTGTGTGCGTGGGAGTGAAGTATGGGGCACAGTGTTGTGTGCGTGTCGATAAGCATAATAGTGCAGAGAAGCAGTACATGTCATACATACATACATACATACATACATATATACATACATACATACATACATACATACATACATACTGTACATACATACCATATTAATCTTGAGGTCAGCTCCCTTTCGAGTGAAGACATTGTGTTCTTTCTCGTCGAGGACAATTATGATGTCACCAGTTTCTCGACCCGGCTCCTAGTAACACAGTAAATCACCATGTAAAGACTTGCACATACACTTGCTCTGTTATGTACTGTATTGTAAGGATCCACCCAAGCTGGTATACATAAAGTTAAGACCCACATACACACCCAACTTATGAGACAAAAGCCTCATGCAACTTCAATGTATGGCTACACACGCAACATGTTCCATGAAAAAAGTGTTGTCTTTTGCACACAACAATCAGACCCATACATTGAAACTTTTGTACCTTGCAACAAAGTTACCAGTGTACATTGGCTAGTATACGTTGGCCTTCAGTCAGCGATCTACACACACACAGACCTGGTTGCTCTCCGTCCAGAAAGTTAAAAAAAAAAAAAAAAAAAAAATAAAAACAAAAAAAAAACCCCCCCCGCCCCCCCCCCCCCCCCCCGCACCCACCCAACCCCCTCCCCCCCCCCCCCCCCCCCCCCGCCCCCCCCCCCCCCCCCCCACCCCCCCCGCCCCCTCTCCCCCCCCCCTCCCCCCCCCCCTCCCCCCCCCCCCCCCCCCCCCCCCCCCCCGCCGGCCCTCCCCCACGCCCCCCGCCCCCCCCCCCCACACCCCACCCCTCCCCCATGGCCGCCGCCCTCCCCCCCCCCCTATCGCCCCACCCCCCCCCCGGTTTCCACCCGGCCCGCCCCCCCCCCCCCCCCCACTTCCCCGCGCCCCCCCCCCTGCCGCTCCCCCCCCCCCCCCGCGGCCCCCCCCCCCTCCCGCCCCCCTTCGTCCCCCCCCCCCCACCCCACCCCCCGCCTCGCCACCCCCCCCCCCCCCGTACCCCCCTTTCCCCCCCCCTTCCCCTCCGCCCCCCCTCCCTCCCTCCCCCCTTTGGACGTCTATCATTCCTTTATCGATGTTTACCTCCAGGACCTTTTCTTTTCTTCTGTATCAACACCTTGTCAGCGTTACACTCTGTTCTTGCAACCGATCTTTCTCTGGACACAGGAGCACAGAGAGACAAACAGCAATAACAAATTGCCGACGTAAGGGCCATATTACACAACATAAGACCAAAGTTGTGTATGATGGGTTTGTTGAACGTATGGTGATTCTGAAGTTGCAGTAAATATCACGCAACAATGTTGCAAATCGTGCATCATAATGTTAAAATCGCTAATCATCAGTTTTGGGCCATTTGGACTGATACAATGCAGGCGAGAGGTCACCTTTGGAAACATGTTAGGGAATTGAGTTTTCTTTCTGAGTATATCCGGAACCTTTTTTGGACACTCACAAAAACAAGAAAAACCGCTCTCTCTTGCTCTGTCACAAGAACAGTGTGTGTGACAGGGCCTCACCGTTGGATGATTTCCTTCCCCACTCCCCCGACACACTCGCACATCGCTGCCGCGGCATGCCGCTGCCCTGAAACTGCTGCACAATCCTGGACCTAGTCTCCTAATACGGAATCTACACGACGGCGAGAGCGGGATATGTGAAGGGGAGAGAGAGAGAGACGAGATATGGAGAGAGAAGAGCGCAGAGAGAGAGCGATCAGCGCGCAGACAGGACAGAGCGAGGAGAAAACGACGAGCAGAGATAGCGACGTGTCCCGTTCAATTGGCTACCTTTTGCACATTGAATCCGTACAGTACTCTCTGAAGCTTTGTTTTCATCCACATTACACCGCCACGCCCTGGCACCGCTCCCTTATCCTCCTTTGCTTCGTTCCGTGTAACACAGCAAGCACCTGTGTCAACATAAGAATAGCACACTGAAACGAACGCATACATTATGTGAGCTAGTAACACACATGAGTGGGACATGCAGCAAGCACGTCTAGAATGCTGACTCGTAGAAAGCCAACGAGACCCTAGCTGAAGAAAGCCAGGGCGGCGCAAGCGCTACTGGCGAGGTACAGGGTTACATGTGGACATTGTGTGTAAGTGTGTCATGTGCGAGATATGCTAGCATGTGTATAGTCCCCACACGTACCTTTCTACATCGCTGTAATTTAGACAATTACGTAGCTAAATGCTTCAGGCTCGACACCCCGCTTCACTAGCTAGCCAATGCATAGAACGATTTAGCGAGGACCATTCCGACAGGCCGATACTGCTAGAACGAAAGTGACTAGTGATGAAAAACTCACCTCTTTTCCTCCCTTCGTCCCCTTGCACTCGTCACACGATGATTTCTCTCTGAACGGCCAGCTTGTGACACTCACATCCCTCATTGTAGAGGTCATCAGAGACACCTGCAGATGATAGTGGCATCAGACGCACACCCCCAGTCTGAGTCAGACACGACAGCTGGGAGATCTCGGTGACTCTCGACGTCTGGATTGACCAAGTATTCGATCTGTCTGGCTTTTGGGGTGGTCATTAGTCGCACACAAAGTGAATCAACTATGACACCTACGACTTCATGCACTGTAACAAACAGCACGTAGTTCCACAAGGACGAACCGCGCGTACATCCTCTCTACATAATGCACACAATCTCACACAGAATGTATGTACACACAGTCACGAGTATGTATAGAGTACGTATATTATACCTTTAGTGGGTAGATCATGCTCCTTTGTGCGTTCTCCCCTTCCCCTCTCCTCCCATGCCTCCACCACAGTCAGCAACTTCGGCCTTTTGTGTCTTCGTCATCGTGTTACCAATCCCGTCTCTTCCTCTGAACATCACGAAATGAGCTAATTTCTTTTGCAAGGCGCGTATCGCTGCAGGAGCGTCCCGGAAGAGTCGGCTCGAGGGCTTTCGTAACTCTCTTTCCGCAGCTCCAGGGGTTCCCTTTTGGGAGCGTTATTTCCTCGATGGGTCGTCGGCGTGAGCTTCTTACACCGTCGGGCCCTCATTTTCTTCCTCATTCTCTCTAATCGGATTGTGGTCCCGTGTGCTTGGGTGGTTAGATAATATTTACGGGTGTCGCCTGGGGCAGTAGTATGAGGAATGTTTGGCATGTTCCCAATTACTCATGGGTACATTGCCCAATTACATAATGTACAATACAACAGCCACATGGCAACTTGGGTATACACGTGTATGCATCCACATGTGCCACGACGAAGAGAAGGAGGAGGGGGCTGGGGAGGGAGCGGAGGGCCAAGGGTTTTCCTGCTTTTCCTTTTTTCCACGTCTCTCGGTTTCCCTCTGCCCCTTTTTTGGGTGGGGATAAAGGGGACTCTTCCGCTCTCTCCTTCCCTTCTCCCTCAGATACTCGCTGGGGCCTCCTGACCAACTCGCAAGTCCTCACTCCTCCCTTTGAATTTTCTCCGGTTTGACGTTCTTGTCTGGTGGTTTACTTGATGGCCGTCTTAACATAACGCCTTCCTCTTCATCATCATTCACCCCCGCGGATTGGGCAACTTGGGGCAACCCCCAACAGTGCTGGGAAGAATAACCGTTTATGAACCTGATACGAGTGGATGTAAGAGGCAGCCTGACTGCAAAACGGGCAGGGCACACTTTTCTCATATCTGTATTTACTACTGTGTTGTTCGTGTCGAACTCGGCTTCCCTTAGGGCACTAGGCGATCGCCTCAGTAGGGGGGCCGACGTGTACCGCCACCGTAGAACTTTGCCTCTTTCACATCATACACCATGGTCGAACACGTGCAGTTTTATGAGCCGAACACAGCAGCTAGACACAGGTCTCCTCAGCCTACTGTTCAAGGTAAGATTGCGGCGATTGCTTGTCTCTAGCTATTTCGAGATCCTGCCTTCTGGAAGCGTCTATACTCACCCGCGAAGAATGGAGGGGATTTACGGAGTGGAAATGCGGTCACTCCAAGCCCCGCCCACACCACCTGCGAGATCAGAAGATAATGTCGGTCCAGCGACTGGTAGCAGTCTTTTCTACGGTTCCCGAGCTACACGCATGCACGCCAGAAGAAATCCACGGCAGTATGGTGCGTGTGGTCGGAAGACTCCTGCGCTACGAGACGAAAGACAGTATCGTTTGGCTGGGACACTACGAGCCACCCTATTTAGAGCTACCCGTGGACTGCAGTCTCATGCAGCCGTTCCCGTTCTCGCAAGGGGCCCTGTTCCAGTTCATAGGTGAGGTGGACGGAAGTGGACGGACGTGCGGCGGACGTCTGGTTCTGCGCGCACTGGCTCATCGGTGTGTGGAAGGACTGGACATGACACTGTACAGAAAAGCACTGGAAATTAGAAACACAAGATAATCTGGGCTTCCACGAGTACAAGCTACAAACCAGTGTTGTGATTCACACAAACTGATGTACAGAAATTGCACGTACACCAACACAAAAACACAGAGAGCTAAGGTCCTCCTGCCTCAATGGCTGCCCGTTGTCTTGCGGTCTCTCTCACCACCGACTTGTGCAGCTTCTCAACGCGACCCTACACACCACAACATCGTTTGAACACTTTGCCCTTTGTGTGAAAAGTCGTTGGTCCAATGAATGAACTCTGTACCTGCACGTTTTGGAGGATGTCATTGACCAGTAGGACCCTCTTTCTCGAGTTGGCTAGTTTCCTTATGTAGGTGTCCAGATCAACAGGAACCTTTTGCTTCTCTGACAGCTGCCGTAGCTCTGAAACGGGCACGCATCACTCACATACTGGGCCAGTTTCAAATACACTACCGTCTGCAAGCTGGTCAACCTGTTCCCTAAGGTCTGCCTGACTTTTCCTGAAGAGAAAGACAAGTCAAGTAATTTGCAGATACTATGCTAGCTGGTGTCCTAGGCTGGCTTCTGTAGGGCTCACCTGACGTCTGCTATCTTCTGGTCGACATGCTCGACTGCAGGTCCCAGAATCCCCAAGATTCCTTCGGCTAGAAGGTCCTCTCTCGACCCTTCTCCGCTCATACTCGCACGAATTCTATTTGCCGCACACTCATGCGAACCACGCCCACACGTAATTAAGATGCGCACGAATAAAGCCAATGAGAGACCACACACATACGAGTATTATACAAAACTCAGGGACTTTAAAAGTGCACAGCAAAGCAACACGTTCAACAATCACTCATGTAGTGTAGCTCTATTATATTACACATTTATTATGATACAATTTTTGGTAATAATAGACATTGCGAAAACTAAAACTAGTGGTTTTCCAGAAGAGAATTTTAGCAGTTGCAACCGTCTTGCTTCTGTTGCTGTGTCTGTTTGCGGTCTGCTGGAGCAGTCGTGTTCTTTAGCTGGACACCAGTGTCTGCTGCGTTTAGGTCAACGCTAGGGAAAGAGAGAGGGAAGCAAGCAGAAGAGAAACTAATGCCGTATATAGAATCTGACTAAAATGACCAAAACTCATACTCTCTGGCTTATGTATATATATTCCTGCGTGCTTCAAAATATTAAGGCATGTTGTGCTGATGCCCTACGGTTCTTACTTTCCATCCTGAATGTTTTGGTAGATCTTCTTAGCTGTCTCAATAAAGACGTCTTCAACATTATCTCCCCTGGAACAAATATAATGTGTAAGTGTGATGTTGACTCCAGCAATAGAGTGAAAATGGACGTGTTGTCATTACTTACGTTTTCGCACTAGCCTCCATGAATAGTAACCCTATATGGTATGAAAAGACAATAGAAAGTAGTAAAAGTGTTATAGTCAACGAGCTTACCATTTTCATCTGCAAACTGCTTAGCCTCTTGGTACGTCACGTCCCGCTGCAGAAACAACACAGAATGGACGCGTTATTAGACAGCACAACAAGCCTCAATCAAGGCCACTAAAAAAATCAGCACAACATGCCTTATAATCTAGGCCAATACAAAATCTGACTCCATAAAACTGCAAGAAACCCATACATGTAATGATCTATGAAGGAAGATATTTTGGTATACGAGAGGATTATACCTGTCCCTCTAGATCAGATTTGTTTCCAATCAAGAATATTACCTGCAGCAAATGAGATCATGTGAGTAAAGACAATACCAGTCTTATAGTACACCTGATCACATGATAATCATGTTACCCAGCCAATCACATAGTTACTGCAGTTGAACCCCGTCTTTAACATGGACGTTAACAATGCAACAGGGGGCAGAATGTTATGGAAGAAAACATATTTGCAAACTTATAAAAGTTGGGTAGAAAATTAAGGAGGTGTTTTCATCTCAGGGAGTCCTTTTAGAGAGGATCTATTATACTGGACACTAAAATCTCAGTTCCCTATCATACACATGATCTGGTCCTAACTGCATACCCCAACCCCTTAGACGATAATAATTATGCTACTAGAAGGGAAGAATACTAAAAACACTCTCATTCTTATTTTGTGTTTGAAACAGAGAGTTTTACAACATACAGTGTTGGGATTGGTGAGGTTCCTGGCGTCAGTGAGCCAGCTGCTCAGGTGATTGTACGTGCTTCGTCTGGTGATGTCATAGACCATCAGAGCTCCAGCCGCTCCTCTGTAGTAGCTCCGAGTGACCGCTCTGAGGAGAGAGAGAGGAGGGGAGAGAGATACAACAGTGCTGTGTATATACAATTCCTGCATGTAGACACCTGAATTGTCATTGCTGAAGATGTTGGCTAGCGAAGCTTGCCTGCCTAGGTGTCTGAATGCAGGATTTTATGCCACCGTACCATAATGCATACATGTGTACTACTAACTATATACGTGCCCACCGAAAATATGTTGCATTCGTCCATAATAGTAACGTTTATTGGAGCCACTTTTCAAACAGCATGTAATTATGAACCAACAGCGACGCATATTATAGGCAGGTCGATAGTTACCGAAATCTCTCCTGGCCTGCAGTGTCCCAGATCTGTAGCTTGATTTTCTGACCTGACACCTCCACTATTCTCGTCCCAAACTCCACTCCAATGGTGTGCGGACAGTCAGCCATGACTGTGTATGTATGAATAATTCATGAATCATAAAGTCTCGTACCAAGTCACTCCCACTCATTAGGGACGTACGGTACCATTTGACACAAATACACATAGGTCCCAAAGACATTACAACAGCAGTATGACATGATCCATTCAATGGCCCAAATACTACAGCGGTGTCTGGCATTATGACCTCATTAGTACCAAGAAAGTTACCAAACCCATCAACGCATATACATGATAAGAGCGTGGCATACTGTGTCTGTTAACCTATTGGGTTTGTATGTACACATCAATACAAATAACACAGACAAGAACACTAGTCGACATTCACTCACATTTCTTTTCGGTGAACTGGTGCAGCAGACAAGACTTGCCTACACCCATGTCCCCTGTGAAAAGAAACACGTCACGTAACAGGAAAAAATTAAAACAACACTGGCCCGTGAGGGAAAGGAGTTACTATGTAGGTAAATGGATTCTCTGGTAATAAAACCTCATCCATTAGTAATATCATGTACGTATGCATGCATGAAACATGACATAATGGAGATAGGATTTCGTTATACATTTATTGATGTAAATATTGTCATGGGGGCCACCCTAATATGGGAATGCCTTTTATGCCGGCAGTAGTGGTATGAAAATTTGCATAACAGTAGACAAGACTAAAGGTCATAAAAAAGAGGTGGATGAGAGATCTAGAATACTCCACAGCAGAACTAATGGCCAACCGTCAACGTCAACATACCGCTCAGTCCTAGATCAATAGCCCATACAGACGAACCTTTTCCAGTTACCACGGCTCCTATCTACAGTCCCACCCACATGGACATTGTATAAACATGATTTTATCTCTACATTTAACGACACTGACTCCCAAGACATAACGCAAGGGTTTATCAGCTTTTTTCATCTGGCTTTAGCATTTTTCGCTATGACGTCATGACAATTTTCGACACCAAAGAAGGCCACGCCTCCATCTCTAGGGCCCCCTAAATCGCGTCCCCGCCACACTCTCACCGATTATGATGTACTTGAATATGTACGAGTAGTTGTACGGCCCTCCGCTCATCCTGCCCCCGCGCTCTCCCCTGCCTGTCGCTCGTCTGTGTCACTCTAGGGCCGTCTCTGTTGTCAGTTCTCGGAATCGGCTCTCGGCGAGCCTCGCAGGACAGCACTCAGGTACTAGTTCTACCGACGAGACGATACTGACACATCTACTCGCGTCTGGCGCTACAGCGGCAAACGGTAGAGCATCCGATCCAGCAGAAAGAGAGAGGAGACTCGCGCACGTGATAGAGAAGGACCTCCCAATGACGTCATTTAGATATGTGCGTTTAATTTTAAGCGCACGCTTCTTCATAAGCGCTCACGTAGAGCTGCTGCGGTAGGCTGTGTCTTCCTCATGCTCTCTAGCTAATGGATCCCTTCGCCGGATATCTTAAAGAAGGTGAAGTGCTAATGGCTAATATTGCTTCCATGAAAGCGAGGGCGAGCACTCAGGCTCTTTATATTTGTAAACGTTAACGCGTTTTTGTTGTGTATTCTCTTGCAGTTGTTCAGCTAAGAGAGAACCAGTGAAGGGGACAGCCATGTCTGCCCTCCGTAAGATCAAGAGAGTGGGCAAGAAGGCCAGCAAGTTCCAGTACACTGCCACGTACCAGTCGGTGGTCGTGGAATGCCAGCGGATCGAGACTTGGTGAGAATGCATCGTTGTTTCGTGCTTTGCTGCCTGCCTACGTGAATTCTGTAGGCTTGTATATAACGTGCTGTAGTGTGGTTCTCATGGAAATTGTAATATCTAGGTGCACATGGTGTTAGAGGTTATAGTCCAGCCTTTCCCAATGCCGATTCATTGCATGTGGCCAAAACAGGCATTTGGGGTTGAGTCATGTTTATGTTTGAGGTAAAATGATATTTCTGTGACCCTCTTACTTAGCATTGCGTTCTACTGTCAGAGTACCATACTGTATTGTATGCACGTGTGTTGGAAGATTTGTGTCCAAGACATCATAATGTGCAGCTAGCCTTACATTCATTACCGGTGGTGATTGAATCATAGCAACATTATAGTGGGAGGCCAGGGAGTAAGGCCTTGGTAAGCCAAGTTGTCAATATCTCACTCACACACCTGTGAACACCTATGCAATCACATTGAGGAAATTTGCTTGGAGTGGAGGAATATTACAACCTACCATTATGGGTTCTCATGAGGTAAGAACTAAGGGCATAGATCACGTACCCAGAGCAATGGGTGGAGGCAGCAGTGTACATGTGCATGAATAATACCGTGCCAATAGCCATCTCTGACTGCTATATGTAGTTCGCCCTTTATATATATAGCATCCATAAGTTAACAGCTTAGCAGCTTAACAGGAGTGGTGTACATACCAGTCAGTGCTGGGGAGCTTATGGTGAGTGTGTGGCATCCCCTATTATGCCTTTGTACGCTCAGCTCTAGTCGGAGATTCTTGGAATTCAAGATTACTGTCGACCTCATAATTACACGGGTTTCATGTTCCTATTATAAGTTAGGTTTCAACAACGGTTCCAACGAAAATGTTGGGTGTAACAGATATTTCAGAAACTTAGTCTGAAGAGTTCCTTGGTTTTTGGACAACTGTGCTTGTGGACAGTTTTTAGCATCCCGCTGGTGCTGTGTGTGTAAGTTCTGTATGGCCGAAACTTTAACAGTGTTTTACAATTATTTTGCGAACCAAACATGAAAAATTTTACTCCACCTGGAAAAAAAACTTTGTGAGGAAGAAACATGTTTACAGCAGTGATCTCTGTAAAATTGTGTATTTGCCCACCAAATCCTAACGGTTTTCGTGCTCAAAGTTTCACGCTTTAAGTAGCTAAAAGGTGAGTGTTGGCAAGCCGGGGCTGGTGGAGGGTAGCCACATACACACTGCCTCTCATTGCCAGCCCACAATACAATCAACTGTCTCCATTGAACGCTAATGAGGTGTATAGAGATAGTGCACCCAGCATGTGATATGCACATGATGTAGATATTATTACGACATGCATCATACACACGTGTCTAGAGGAAATTAATATGCAGGTCCTATCACTAAGAACAGTGGTTCCTTGGGATGGACTTGGTTGCTAGCATCATACAGATGTATGCGACTTGTGATAGGTTTGTTCGTTTTCTTCTTCTTCTTTGAAGAACAATAGAAACGATTGCAGTACTGTTTACCTTCTATTGTTTATCTCTCTGTAAATGGCATATAATGTGTACGTAATCTCCCCAGGAAGCCTCACCTAATCAGTGTGTCTTGGTCAAGAAGAGGAAGAAGATTCTTCACTCACGTATGTTCCGTGTGACTAGTGTGTTGGCCACCTTTATCACCTTTTACACGAGTGATTCTATTCTTCTGTCAATTTGGTTTTTAACTCTTGTCTTTTACTAAAAAGAGGAGGAGACAGGGTGCTTTTCATGAGTCAGCTATTTAATATGCGTCTTCTGATAACTCTCATTAACGATGTAATGTTAGTTGATATACTGTTCTCTCTTGCTGCTCCCTATACTGCATACTCCAGCGAAGACCGTGGCAGGCGTCTCTAGACAACCCCACGAGAGGTGTCGTCATTTGGCCCGACAAGGAGGTCATGGAAACCACTGTCACCTTGTACAAGTTCCACAACCCTTCTTTCTCTCTCTCCCTGCACTTCCTTTGTACAATGTATATACAATAACCCTCTTTCTATCTTCCTTACTCTTCCTCTCTCTCTCTTGTCACCTACGTATACCGTAGAAACCACTTTTCCAGCACAAAAAGTATTGCAAACACAGTCACCAGGTGGTGTGCTGCTAAAATCTCGAAAATCTGCAATATTCAATAGCAAAAGTGTGTACAATGGTAGTGGTGAGGGTCTGTGAGTGACTGGGTCGTAGTATTGCGTGTGTAGGGTGGCCAGACATCTCCATTCACGTGTGCTGTTGATCACTTTGTCTCTCTCCGTGTAGAGTCCAAAGGACACGTCATACGAGACTAAAGAGTGGGAATTTCATGTCATTGACGTGAGTTTGTGGCGCCACATCTCTCTCTGTAGTGACATATTATACATACAGTTCCGTCTCACTTTATAAATTGAGTTTTTAGAGGGCTCTTTCAACTTTGCTCTGACTTCTTTCACTCTTATTCTGGATTTTAAAAAGTTCTTATAAATCACTACGTGTCTCTCTTTTTCTACACCCTCCCTTCTCTTTCTCTCCCCCCACACCCTCTATCTCTCTCTTATCTTCCATCTCTTATGTTGTCCTCTTTCCCCCACTTCCTCTCTACACCCCCTCCCACCCACCCATACACACTCACACACTAAATCTCCCCACACGTCACCTCTGCTCAGGTGGACAACTCTGCGGGCAAAAGAGGACGATCTGCCTCCACTGCCATATAAACATGGTCGCACGCTACAACCATGCCCTACGGACGCACGACAGACAGCTCCAACTGAAACCGGTGTGTCTCGCAAGATCTAAAGAGAGTCATCCTGGACATAAACACTCTCGCTCAGTGCTCCTCAAGAAGCGAGAAGGAAAGCACGTGAGCAGAATATGATACTCAAAAAGATCTGTGTACGTAGGAGAGTGTGTGTAACTGCATGTAAACAATAGACCATGTGATGCCGAATGAGAAAAAAGATTGTGGAGCTCTGCCGGCAGCTGTTTAACGGGCTTGTTTGGCCCTCATCAGCAAAGCATACGGCAACTTCTCTCTCTGCATCACCGAGTTTATAAAGGCCAACGTTGAGCGCAAGCACTTGGTGGTTTTGCATACACATGGAAGATACATGTAACCTGGTGTTCATACAGAGGGATGTATGTAGTTGCTGACTGTGGGAAGATCTGTAACTGTACTGCAGTCATCAGTGATAATACATCTGGCAGCAGGTGTTGCACGGCCAGAAAACGTGTCTTGCGCAATGTGGTCTGTCTGTTTGATATGGCTCGCACCCCAAAACCCCGTGTGCACTGTGGAATACCTGTGCAACTTGTGAAACGCACGGTACACTCTACGATTATTATTGCTTTTGCTGATTGTGGTATTGATTCCTTCATATAGACTACGTTTTGAGTCACGAAATATGCTGGTCAGCATTTTTCATTTTTTATAACCCCTCCCTCCCTCCCTCCCTCCTCTCTTCCCAGATCGTGCTGCATCTGTGCATGTGCGTGTTGCATCTTGCGATGACGATATGTGAGTTATAGCCAGTATGATGAGCGTCTCCACCTCCATGATTGGAAACCTTGATGATGAAGATGACGACAACTTTGCCTGGTGAGCTATCAATTCAGTGTGGGTTCTTTTGAGACATGCACGTGAATTATGCAATGGGTCTGTGTGTGTGTGTGTGTGCGTGTCTGTGTGCAGGCTGGTGGTCGTTCCATCAATCCACCTCTATGCTGGAGTCAATTCTGCTCACCCTAAGAATTACTCAGTAAGTATTATAACCGCAAATTCACTTGTATCCTATTTTGCCAACCTATCATAGCGTCCTATGCCGCCTCAATAGTTCTTAGTGTCAGATCATTATGTGACTCTGATACTCTCTCTGTCCATTTTTCCTTTCCGTATCACTCTAGAGTGGACCCAGGGCGTGAACGACTGCGCTACAGGGGATCAATGTTACCACAAGACGACGTCGTGGAAACAGAATGGGTTCTACCCATCTCCACTACTACCGCCAGACCTCATGTCAGTTATTAACCCTTTCCCACACACTTTTCAATTTACTTCAGCTTTTGGACCTAAGTTAATCAGCATGGTCGGTTGCTGTCCTTACACCTACTTGCTTGCTGCCACCATATTTTGGCCAATGCAAAATACAGTTTAGTGAAGGCCTGTGTGTGATGGTTTGTTGACTGTCCTTTTCCCACTGCTTGCTAAAGTACGAAAAATTTTAGCCACCCTCTGATGCCTCTTATAGTGAAAACGCACATTAGAAATTGCTGTTGTAATCGTGTAAGGATAATTTGCTATATGTCTGATGACACAAGTAAGGGGAAATCAAGTCATAATTATGTGCCACAACCCTTGCTTCACTACACAAGGATTAACTACCAGTGATTAACTTCACTGTACTTATAAGACTGCGGAACCAGATTAAAAAATTTACTCAAACCTGCAGAGACATTGAGGCAGTTTCACCCCAACGCCATAAAGGAGACAATAAGCTGGTTATTAATTACTTTTTTTCTGTAGAGCATCAACCATACCAACATTTGTCCCCACCCAAATTTCCTACTTTTTAGACTATATATAAAAAATGTAAAATGTGGTGTGAAAGCAGTGTCTCTTACTCCAATGACGTTGAGCTGGCCAATGTCCTGGGTATCTCGTGTCCTCTGACCCCAGTTCCAATGATATCTGCCCACGTCCCGACAAGCTGCTCGTCTCTCTCTTCTGTCAACATGCACCAGTACTTCACCAGAGCCCTTCTTCTGCCCTCGCAAAGATAGCACTGAGATGGCTATGGTATACATACGTCTATAGCTATACATATAGTCGGCAGTCTCGTGACTTTGACGACTGAGGCGCGAACGTGATTGCTCGAACTTGTAACAATGCTGACACACATTTGGAATCCTTGCAAATTTCCAGTCTATGGTTCACTGATGGTTCCCGTGCGCCAGTGAGGTTTCCCACCCCGTTCCATAGCATCGTGAAAACATTTGTGTCAGTCAAAACTAGTATGTACGTACGTATGTCCAACAATCGGGACATTGTTGGTTACGAAGTGTATTTACAAGCCCACCTGCTTCTTCTCCATGCTCTAACTGTGGCAAACAGGTATGGCATAGTGGGTGGAGCCCCAACTCCGAAGCACAAGCCTTCTTCCCCGTTTGACAATCTCAGATCCACAAAGTGTTTGACGATCAACATTACAGCACCTCTCGCCCACCGTCACGTCGCCCTCCACTCGGTCTGAGAGGTGAGCAAATACTCTCGTCACAGCTCACAGCTGGAACAGTGAGGAGCAGGAGGGCGGTGGTCGGACCATCCGACGTGTCTGGTGACTCACGTTTGGTTAAAACCTCACTCGAGCTCGAGCGGTTCGTCTCTTGTCTTGGGACCACGGGGGTGGTAGTGGAGCTGACCGCTACAACGCAGAGAACCTGGGGACAGTAGTAGATAATCTCGGGACAGGAGGAGGTAACGACCGACAAGGAATGGAGGTTCAATGCGGCACACGGAGGAGTAATCCAGGACAAGGAGGAGGTAAGGTGGGACCAGGAGGAAATAATGCTTGGACAAGGGAAGGACAAGATGCGGGACAAGTGTTTGGAGTGCCGTGAATGAGCAGGGATAGCGTTGGACCACTAGTGAGTGCATCAGCCCCGGGCACATCACATCACGAACTGGCGGTACCATCCATCAGTGTGTCTGAAGATCTAATGACTCTAGTGACCGGAATGATGGAGGATGGGAGAGAGGGGGAGACGGACGAGAGGGGATGCAGAGAGAGGGAGGCTGAGGATAGAGCACAGAGGAAGACAGGCACTCCTGATGTTTGAAGGTGATA